GTCTTAACTTTGGGGGTGGGGGGTCGCGGGAGGGGGCATTCATTCTCTGTGAATTCACATTGGACGATTGCTTAGAGCCAAGGGTGAGGGCATGCATGCAGGACTGGGTGCCTGTCTTATCTGTTAATTTCAGCAAATTCTTCCCCACTAATTCTGTGTACTAGACAGAATGTTTTACATTACACATTGTAATGGTTCTGTACTGTATGTTCCCGACACTTGGGAAAGGTTTAGAACCTGTTTTATTACAAGTATCCATAGATGTTAAGAAATCTGTTTAATGATTTTAAGAAGGACTTAGTGACTCTGTCACTGTGGGGGAATGTACTTTTTCTTCTGAGTTTAGATCCAATTGTTGCACATAAATTTTCAAAACAAGTTTAGAAAGGATAAAAATGACAAGCTCTTTTTCTTGTCTATATATTAAATATATGTATTAAAGTTTGTATATTCAACATTTTCCCTCTCCCCAGGCCCTCATAATTTCACTGAAAATTGAGGCCACTGACTGTCTTGCCTATTTCCCCCCTTCTTTGTCCCACATCTCCCAGATACCTTCTCCCCCTCTCCTCCTTCAGTCTTCTTCAATCTTGTCTCATAATGAGGTAGCCCTTCTCCTTGCCAAAGCAAACCCCTCTACATATATGTAAGTGATTCTCATCTATCCAGTCTTCTCTAGCAGATTTCTTCTTCTATCATCCCCATCCTCCCACTTATCTTCAATCTCTCCTGGCCTACTGGCTGCTTCCCTACCACTTACAAACTTGCCCACAGCTCCTCCATCCTCAAAAACCTCTCATTTGATCCATCTATCCCTGCTATCTTCCCATATCTTCTACAATTAATACCTCCACTTTTTCTCTCACTCTTTACTCTGTACAATTTCCAGCCTTATCATTCATCCAAAACTTCGCTCTCCAAAGATACTAATGATCTCTTAATTGCCAAATCGACTGCAATGGCCTTTTCTTAATCTTTATCCTTCTGGAGCTCTCTGTAGCCTTCGATATTACTGATCACCTTCTCCTTCACTACTCTCTTCTCTCTAGGTTTATGTGACACTCTTCTTTCATTATTCTACATATCCAACTGCTCCTTCTCAGTCTCCTTTACTGGATGTTCATCTAGGTCATGTCCACTAACTGTGTCGTACAGGGCCGTGTCCTGTGTCTTCCCATCTCCCTCTAAACTATTTTACTTGATGATTTCTTGGTGACTTACTTGGTGATTGAATGCTCCTATGCATTCAATTATCATGTGTGTGCTGACTGATTCTCAAATCTATTTCTCCAGTCTCTGATTATCTCCATTCTCACATCTCCACCTACCTATTGAATATCTTGAACCGGATGTGATGGGGGAAGGGATTCGTGCTGGACCCCTAAAAGGAAAAGACCATGTCTTTGGGACCTGGACTCCAAAACTGCTGAACCCAGATCTCAGGTTTACTGCACCTGGCCCCACTCCAGGCTATTTGCCACTCCTTAATCTCATCAGTTCTTCCCAGTCTTTCTGTATAAAAGTATCTATCTTGCCACCATTAAATGGCTCAGATTCTTAAAATCTGGCCCACTTGTATTGGTGATGCAATAAACCTTGTCTCTGAAAGAAGGCTTCAGTTGAATTCTTTTGAGGCAAACCTTTGCCTTTTGCCCTTGAATTTCAGGGTTCCCAGCGCCCCTAAACTGCAACATGTCCAAAACTTAATTCATTACTTTTCTCCAAAATTGTCTCTCCTTCCAAATTTCCCTATTACTTTTGAGTAATCTATTCCTGTCACCCTTACTTGCCACCCAGGTGTCCTTAGCTCCTCACTCTCTCATATCCTCATCCCACCCTACCCTCTGCCACATCCAATACCATTGCCAAGTCTTGTTTCTACCCTTGGAACATCTCTTGTTCCCTTCTCTCCTCTGACCCTCCACCACCCTGCTGCATACCCTCATTACTTCACACCTGGACTATTGCAATAGCCTGATGATTGGACTCCCTGCCACAAGTCTCTCCCTGCCTAGTCCATTCAGTTGTCTCCTGGCTTCCTCCAAGTACTGTTGAGGTTTAGATTGTAGGGGTGCTGGGACACTGAAATCATGACATGCTGGTCCTGTCTAAATGAAATCAACCCAAGTCTTCTTTCAGCCAAAGACAAGGTTTATTAAAGACAAAACCTACAGGCCAGACTCTTAAAGATCGTGAACATTTGTGATGCTCATAAGGACAAGTGGGCATGAGGAATTCTCAGCACCCAAACAGGCCAGAAAGGATCTTATATACAGAAAAACTATGGGAGGGATTTGGGAGTGGTCAAGTAGTTTTGGGGTAACTGGGAGAAGGTGCGTCTTGATTGGTGGTCAGTACTAAAGGAGGAGTTTGGGGAGGATCTTGAAGCCGGAGTGAGTCCTGGGAGAATCCTGATGGGAGTGTCTGGGGGTATGAATGGAGTCATCTGGAATAGACAATGGAGGGCTAGGCTTTATTAGGGTAAGAAAGAACTGGAAGACAGGGCCTAGAAGACAAGGAAGAGGCTGAATGAGGTCTGGATAAGATCAAAGGTGGGAAATATAACCCTGGCCTATAGACAATAGAGGACTAGGTTTAATTAGGGTATCAAAGAACTGGGAGATAGGGCCTAGGTGATAAGAGAGAGCCAGTTGATAGTAATAATCTGGAGACTGCTGGACTTCCTTGACCAGGTAAGTTAGCTCAAGGAAAGTTTAAGGGTTTTCTGGGGCCTATAGACAAATGAGACGCAAATTCTTCTTTTTGTTGTTGGGCCCATACCCCATCAGTACCAGCTGAATAGGGAAAAAGAGCTGGACAGTTTAATTACTAAATGCCTGGGCTAAGATTCAAACCTAGGTTTTTTAATTACAAAAGGAATTGTTCTTTCTACTGGTCTATACCACTGGTATGAAGAAAACCTATGATATTAAACATGTATCAAAATATACATTCCTGCATAGACCACATAGCCTTGAAGAATGAACTTTTTATGTCATGTTGTCAGTGCCTAGCACACAGCACTGAATAATAGGCATTTAATGCTGATTATATAACCAATTAATCATTAGCTTGGAAAACTCTGCTTGCTTCCTTCCTTCCTCCTGTGCTACCTAGGGACACAAACTACTATCAGGCTGGTTCTGAACTCAGGTCTTTTTGACTCTAAGACTTATACTCTTTATTTCCTCTACTGAATAAAACAAATAGAAATGTTAAATACAAATGAGCCATCGGTTATTTCTTTAAAACCAAATGAAAAGTCAGTCAACAGAACCCTAAAATAACTGTCATAAAAAGTTCTGGAGATTGAAATACTTGTTATTGTAGTCCAACTTTGTACATCATAGAAAAATGAAACAACCTTCCCAAGGTTATGAAGCTGCCAAGTGCAAATGCTAAGACCTGAACTCAGGCTTCCTAAATCTATTGCTCACAATACCATACCACATTGGAGACAAAATTTTCCCAAAGTCCCTATGAGAGGTGACTGCTGTTGAGGATGATTTTACAGGCCTTTCTCCATCTCTTCCAAAATCCTGTTCTACAGACCATCCTGAGCAAGGCCTTTGGTTTCAGATGTCAGAGGAAAGTACCTTGATATAGAACACAGAGTAGAATAAACACTTATTAAGAACTTACTATGTGCCAGGAACTTCACAAAAGCTCTTTAAAACAAGCAGTGTGTCCTTCGATCCTTGCAACAACCCTGGGAGGTCCGTGCTATTATCCTCATTTTTTAGTTGAGAAAACTAAGGCAAGGGGCAGCTAGGTGCCACAGTGGATAGAGCTCCAGCCCTGGAGTCAGGAGGACCTGAGTTCAAATCTGATCTCAGACACACGTCACATTAGCTGTGTGACCCTGGGCAAGTCACTTAACCCCAACTGCCTCACCTAAAAGGGGGAAAAAAAAAAACTAAGGCAGAGGTTAAGTGACTTACCCAGGGTCACACAGCTAAAAGGTTGGATTTGAACTCAGATTTTTTTATGTGCTCATACAGAAAACTGTTATTTGGAAATCAAAGTATCATTCATATGCATTTGTTTGCTTCCAATGAAGAAGCAGGGCCTGCACTAGGGTCTGCTTGTTTGGCCCAGAAAGGGCTCTACTCTATACCTTCACTCTAAGTACTTAATGTAGTTGTGCTAAAAACAGCTAAAATACAAAAGACAAACCAGCTTGCTACCTAACATACAAAGCACCTTAAAAATACAAACAGCACAACAAATTTTTTTTTAATTTTTCTTGAGCTTTTTTTCTTTGTTTTATGTGTCACACATACATCATAAAAACAAATTGACCAGTAAAAGATCAGGTAAATGTATTAAACTCCACAGAAGTATTTATATTTGATTTCTCTTTTAACCTGTTTCACTGAACTAAACATTAATTTTAGTAACATCACTTTGAGACGTTTCAATAGAGCCATTTTACAAACATTGAAATGAACATAAGATTCATTATTACTAATGGTACTTAAAATAGTGCTTTACTATATACCAGGTACTGTGCTAAGTGCTTTACAATTATCGCATTTTATCCTCAAAACAACCCTGCAGGTAGATGCTATTATTATTCCCATTTTTATAGCTGAGGAAACTGAGGCAAACTAAGGTTAAGTGACTTGCCCAAAGACACAAAGCTGGTGTCTAAAGCAGAATTTGAACTCAGGTCTTCCTGATTCTAGGCCCAGTGCTCTGTTCACTGTACTATCTTGTTGCCTCAGATCTGCCTAGAGCAAAGGTTCTTAATATTTTTGTGGGTCATGGACCCCTTTGGTAATCTAGTGAAGCCTATGGACCCCTTCTCAAAATAATGTTTTTAAAAACATAAATTTATTAGCCCAACAGAGGAAACTAATTATACTGAAAGTTATCAAAATATATTTTTTCACAAGTTCACAGTTAAGAACCTCTGGAGAGTAACAAGGAGAGGTGAGGGAATGAACAAAATAAACAATTATTTACAGTAACTACTAGAACAAATAAGATTTGCATGCTCATATTAAAAAAAAAAAAAGGAACACATATGGTTCCCTTCCTTGAAAGATCACACAGTAAGATAAACTTTTTAGTCATTTGGATCTAGGCCAATTCTAATAACTTTAGTAGAAGCTACTTGGTTGGAAGAAGCGCTTGTATTTTTTAAAAATAACGCACCACCTAAAGGTTGGCCACAACATGATGAATTTGTTTTTGGCAAAAGAAACTCAGGATGACCACATAAGGTGAAGAGAGGTTGCAGTTTGCATTGATGCCACAAAACCCTGAAGTATAACATATTAGTGATATCCAAAGAGTAGCCAAGACATTTTTCTGTCAGAAAGTATGTGTGCTACTCAAGGGAAACTAAAGTACTTTATTTCTTTAAAGTACTGGAAACAGAATCAAGGATTAAAAATATTTTAATATACATGGAAATATAGTTTTTAATGAACTGGTGTGAGGGCCTCAAAGAGTCTTTGTGCAGCAAGTTCTACCATTTCTCGAAGGGACTCATCCTCTTCACTTCCTTCTTCACATTCTACTGTCTGAAAGATAATGGACACAACACCTTAAGTTAGAGTCTGTAGTTAATACAAGAGGAAATATCAATATCAGCTTAAGTAGCAAACATTTCCTGCATGGGTGAAGATAATTTTAAGGCCAATTATCAAAAAACTTCAGCTGCACTGTAACTTTTGGGCATTCTGCAGACATTATAATCCTGCTAAGAAATAACAAACTAAGCATAATGAATGTGTAAAAAAAGAGATCGATTTTGGAAAAGCTAAATAATAAATCTAAAGTCCTATGAGAACTACTATTTTTTCAAAGTTCGGATGCAGGGATTTAAATAGTTTGTACCCTCCCAAGGATGATGATAATAAATTATTTTAGTGAGAAATAGATGTGATAATCCAATCAGCACTGTTCACACTAAATGTAATTTCAAATCAATAATATCCATGTAGATGCTTCTGAAGAAAACCATGACACTTTTTTTTGGTTAGTAATTTAAATTTCACTGCTCAGAAAAAGCAATGGCTATCCTCCCCTCAAATATACATTAAATCATAAGAACTGCTCTTATACGTATACATTAAAATCTGTTCTCAATTTGCAGAGATCATGAGAACCTACATGTCCTATCTGTGCTTAAGAAACTATCTGAATATCACTTGTAGTAGACTGGCTGCTTTCAACAAATATACATACTCGTGTCTCCAAAGATATATTGGCAGTCTTTCCATCCACTGTGACACTTAGAATGGATCCTTCTTTGACACTTACACAATCTTCCCCAAATATGTCCCTTCAAACAAAAAATGTTAAAATCAAATTGAAAAGTTATCAGACGAGAGAAAAATGCAGAACTATAGGTAAGCTGATAAAACTACACCTCATAAAGTCTGAAAAAGTTACAAAACTGAAGCTATCCTACATTTCCAAAGCAGAATTTAAGCAAATATTTAAAACCAGCAATTGGGGGTAACTCTTCCAAAATGAGCTTGATGAATTTTATTAGTTTTATTAAGATGGTTTGATTCTAACAGCCACAGAATTAAGCCTAAAGTTATCAGTAGCGATTTTTTAAAGCAGTAGATATTAAAATGACAAAAGCACAAATAATCATATGTGGATATAATCTTATGCCTTTACTGAAGTGCTCCTCCCATTCTTTAATGTGACAAGGGATGATTTGTAGTTCTATCTAAGGAGAGAAGGCTGGTATGTCAGTTCACCAGTTCATACAGATCAGCTAAGTGGTTAGAGTAGTGGTACCAGGAAAGCCTTAATGCAGTCTGACACCAGCTATGTGACTCTGGGCAAGTCATTTAAACTCTGATTGCCTCAGTTTCCTCACCTATAAAATGGGGATAATAATAGCACCTTGTTGTGAGAATCAAATAAAATAATAATTCAAAAGCATCTGCACAGTGCCTGGCACACAATAAGCATGACATAAATGTCAACTACCACCACCACCACCACCACCACCACTATTATTTCAAGCTGGAAAAGCTTAGATTTCAGTTTTTACAACAGTAAGGCCACAGCTCTTCAAAGAATAAATTTTCAATTGAATAGGTAAATACACAAAGTATTTTAAGTACAAAAAATTCTAACCATTTTTGCAGAGAAATATTTTTTTAAAAACCACTGGGAAATATACTGTCTTAAACAAAATTTACAAAACATAATTAAAATTTGCAGTTACCTGATGCCCCATTATTGCCCATTTAAAAGTGCTGCCATTCAAATATAAATATTTCTACTAGAATAAGTAGCTTCCTTCTACCCCCTTACTCATGAACTTAGTAGGGTAAAAAGGAGAAGTACAATGCAACTTCAACATTATATAACATGTCCCTTGGAAACAGATTGTAATCTTATCTAAAACAGATTCCACTATTAAAAAAACCTGATAATCAAGTATATAACAACCAATCAATCAATAAACATTTACTGAAAGCCAACTATGCATCAAGCACTGTCTAGGCACTGGGATACAAAAAGAGGCAACAGACAGTCCCCTTCCTCAAGCAGTTTACAATCTAATGGGGGAGAAAACAGACAAACAAACAGATACAAAGAAAGTTATATATAGGATAAATACGAAATAATTAACAGAAGGAAGTACCAGAATTAAGAAGGGGTGGGAAGGCTTCCAGGAAAAGACAGGATTTATTTGAGATTTAAAGGAAGCCAGAGTGGTCAGCAAGTAGAGGAGGGAGAGCATTCCAGGCATGGGAGAAGGCCTGAGAAAAGACCCAGGGTCTTGTTCACAAAACAGCCAGGAGGTCAGGGTCACTGGGTAAAAGAGTATGAATTGGGGAATGAAGTGGAAGGGGCCTAGAAGGGTAGAAGAGGATAAGTCAGGAGGGGCTTTGAATGTTCTCTTTACATTTGTATTCTCTCAGTTAGAACTTAAGCTCTGAGAGATTGTTTAATTGTTTGTATTTGTAGCCTCTGTTCCACATATCTAGAAAATACTTAATAAATGCTTACTGACTGAATGAGTTGAGGCTGGTGAGGAATGTTAATGATGGAATCCTAATAAAGCTTCCTCCAGCCCCAATACTCTAACTTCCTTATGGGCTCCACTGAACAGCAGGGATGTCCTGATTTAACCACATAATCTTGACTTTAACCACACCAAAAGGACCCCAGACTCAACCACAAAACATCATCCCTTTAGCCCAAGGCAGGACCACAACAGCTAGCCAATCAGAAAGCAGTTATGACCAGGATGTCTGACCACCCAGCCATAAAAGGGACCCCTCCCCATCACCTAATCCCTTAATAAATCCCTCCTGCCTTTTTAATTTCCATTATGTAACCAGCATCATTACACTATAAATTTGCCTGTGTTGTCTTACTAAGTTGCTGGTTCCTCTTGGAATCTAGCCTACTTCTGAGAGGTCTCAATCCTCAACAAATGGATTAGAGGTTGCCTGTCTCTGAATTCTTTGAGCCAGTGCCATCACAACACACCATGAAACCACAACATCAAAGCCAACAAAAAGCATGCCAGATGCTATGCTATAGTTTAAAAAAAAAAAAGGCTCTCCCTGGCTCAGGGAGGATGGGGACATTTATAACTGAAAACAGAGAAGGCAGCTGTTCAAATCTTATCCTGCCTGTTTTTGTCTAATAAGGAGAGTGACTTTAAATTCCAAATGACTGATTGGATTAGACAGGACAGAACAAAAATGGCTAATGAGGACTTTATACCCAATATAAGTATGGAGATAAGAAAGCAACTAGCTGCCTTTGATGAATTCAAATCACCTGATTCAGACAAACTACTTCCTTGGGTACTGAAAGCTAGCAAATGTGATTGGTGAGATGCTGTCAGTGATACCCGAAAGATCACTGATGGGGGGAGAGTTACTAGGGGCAAAAAAGTCCCTTCAAAAAAGAAAGAAAATATGGACTGCAAGGTAAGGCTAATTAAACTTGAGTCCTGGCAAAATCTAGAATGAAGTACTAAAGAAATGGTTGGGGAACACCTAGAAAAGGAACTCAGAAGAGCCAGGTTGGCTTTCTCAAGACCATCTCATGCCAAGTAACTATTTTTTGACCCAGTTACCAAAACAGTGGATCTGAGGAATAGTAAAGATATAGTTTACCTGGATTTTTAGCAAACTACCCACTAAAGCATCTTATACTACTCTTGTGGAAAAGATGGAAATATGTTAGAATTATATGGATTAGGAACTAGTTGAATGGCCGCATGGAAGTAGTCATTAATGTTTTGATATCACCTTAGAATAGGTTTGCAATGGGCTGGACATTGGTCCTATGGTCAGACATGTGCTGTTAACATTCCTATTAATGATGAGGTAAAGGCATGCACATCAAATTTGCAGACAACACAAATTTGGGATGGACAGCTAACAAAATAGGTGACAGGATTCAAAAACATCTTGACAGGCTAGAACCCTGGGCTGAATCTAGGAAGATGTAATATAACAGGGACAAAAGTATTAACCTGAGTTTAAAAAATGGACTTCAGGAGTACAAAGAGGCATGGTTAGATGCAAGTTTTTTTCAAAAAAAGAACCATTTTTGCAGACTACAAGCTTAAGTCTTTTTTTTGACACAGGGCCAAAAAACCAATGAGATCCTGAGCTACATCATGAGACACAGCTAACAGGAATAGTAAGCTAGTTGACAGTCCAACTGCACCTTGTTCTCCACTTCACACACGCAATATTTTCTTCTATTCTGGGTACCACATTTTAGTAGTACTTCAAGCTGAAAAGCATCCACAGGAGGGCAACCAGGGTAATGAAAGGCCTTCAGTCTACATCATATGAGGACCAATTGAAGGAAGTGGGGATGTTCAGCCTGGAAAGGGTAAGTCTCATGGGGGTCATAACAGCTATGTTTGAATATCTGAAAGGCTATCATAATATTGGGGGAACTGAACTTATTGTGCTTAATTCCAGAAATCAAAACAAGGACTAGTAGGTGAAAACAGCAAAGAAGAACATTTAGGCTTGACTGAAGCTGTCCAAAGTGAAATGAGAAGCCAAATATCACTTTCTGCCTATGTTACAGTGGTGATCCATTTTTAGGTATAAACTAGACTAGAGTTCTGCTGAAGTGCCTTCCAACTCTAGAATTCTTTTATTCTATAAATGTGCATTCATGAAACTGTAGAAAACCTCTAAGCTCTGTCTTAGGCCTTCCTTTTATAGTCTTTCTTGGTGATCTCATCAAGTACTCAATGGCTCAATTATCACATCCTTGTAGATGACTCTCAAATCTACTTCTCCCACTTCTCTCATAAGTTCCAATCCTATGATACCAACTGCGTTGTCCATCTCCCCCAGATATCTCATTAGCATGTCTAAAATGGAATTCGATATCTTCCCTCTGAAACCCACCTCTTTGCCAAACTTTCCTATTTTTATTAAGGACACAACACCATCATTCTTTCCATCTGACTCTTTCCTCTTTCTCCTCAATCTCCTCAGCTTCCAAATAACTTGCAGTCTGTAGATCCCACCTTCACAATATCTCTCATATCCAATGCTTTCTCTCCACTGCCATGGTCTCTACCCTAGTTCGGACACTTATCAACTCCGACTTGGACTATTTCAATATCATCCTTACCTAGTCTTCTTGTCTCTAAATAATCCATTCCATCTTCCACATAGCTGCTAAACTAATATTTCTAAATACAGTACATATCATGTCACCTTCCCTTTCAAGAAGCTTAAATGGCTCCGTATTACCTTTAGGATAAATACAAAATCTTGTTTGTCATTTAGTGTCCTCAGGTACAATCTGGCTCCAACCTCTCTAGATTAATTTCACATTATCCCCCTTACACACTCTACATTACATCTAAATTAGCCCACTTGCTGCTTCTCATTCCAGCCATTCCATCTTCTGGCTGTGCTCCATGCCTAGAATCCTCAGCTCCCTTCAAGATTCAGCCCAAATGCCACATTCTAGAAAAGGCCTTACCATGGTGTTTTTCTCATTTCCTTGAGATATTTATGAATCTGTATATGTTGTTTCCCCTCCCAGTAGCAGCTAGTGCCTCAGAAGTCAGGGATCGGTTCTTGAGTTTGTATCTTCAGTGTCTATCAGTGTCAGGCACATAGTAAGTACTTAACATTTACTGAACATAAAAAGGTATTAATACACTGATTTCATAAGCAGAGATTCATCTCAGCCTCCCCTTCATTATGAGGAAACAGACACTCAGAGAGACGATTGTCCAAAGTCACCAAGGTAGATAATAGTAGCAGAACTATGATTAAAGCCCAGGTCCTCTGACTCCAAATCTAGTGCTCTTTCTACTACACCACGGCCTACCAAACCCATAAAACTAGCTGACGACAGAACTGGAACTAGATCCCAAGTCTACCAAATGTCACTATTTCAACCATTCAATTTCAACAATATTGAGTGATATAAAAGTCTTACTGAAGCATAATCTCCAATCTCTTGCTGTAAATGTGCATTTCTATTTTTTTTGATACCTTAGGTACTGCACCTAGGGAGGAAAAAAGGCAAAAAAAACCACCTTAGTTTCTTTTCCAAATAAATACAAGAATAAGAGAATTAGAGAACTGTGTCATCTCCACCCCAGAATGATAGGTTTTCTCTTGCAAAATGAGGAACCACAATCTCTACCTCTAAAGATGCTTCTAGTTCTAAATATATGATCATATTATTGGACTGTGCCTTGTGAGTTATAAATACTGGTTGTCTAACATATTGGTATATTATAATAAATATATTACATTTCTCAATTAAAATATTTGATAAAACTTTGTAAAAAATATATTTGTACCTTTCTGTATTTTGGGGTTTGACTGAACTTCAAGGATCACTGTTGTTACTGTATCTGCATACATATCATTGGAAGGATTTGCTAACCACTGAAAAACAAATAGTAGAATTAACAAAGGACTATAATGACCAGAACCACCACTACACATATTAATGAACTGTTGGTTCTAATGTTTTTACTGAGCAGATGAATCTCTACAGTAATACAACTAGTATGGAACCCCTTTCTCCCTCTCCCCCACAAGGAAACTGATTATTTTATGGAGAATATTTGGGTATCATGTAGAGTAGTTCTTAGTCCTTTGGATTCTTCTAATTTTAAAAAATGTTTAATACATTTTGGGACTGACAGGATCTGTGATTATATTTGTACAGAGAGGGAACACTTCCTCCCAGTGCAGACTGCAACTTTCTTTCTTTTTTGGGGTGGGGCTAGGCAATGGTCACACAGTTAGTAAGTGTTATGAGTCTGAGGCCAGATTTCAACTCAGGTCCTCCTGACTCCAGGGCTGGTGCTCTACGCACTTGCAACTTTCTTTACAAACGACAGATAGAGGGGCAGCTAGGTGGTGCAGTGGATAGCACTCTGGCCTTGGAGTCAGGAGGACCTGAGTTCAAATCCAGCCTCAGACACTTAACACTTACTAGCTGTGTGACCCTGGGCAAGTCACTTAACCCCAATCGCCTCATCAAAAAGCAAAAAACAAAAAAATGAAAAGTAAAAAAACAAAAACAAAAAACAAATGACAGATAGATCAGTTGTCCAGGACACTGAAAGTGAAGTGACTTCTCAGGGTCACAAATATAGTATGGGTCCAGGTCATCCTGACTCTGAAGCTAGCTTTCCATTTAAAACCACACACTCACTCTCATCTAACACTTTCACTATTAATTTTTGTTCTCATAGGGATGCTGAAAAACCTAAAAACTCTTCTTTTAAATTTAGTGTTACATGAAATTTGTGATGGTTACTATTTCAAATCTAAGTCAACATGATGTCTTTTAGTGTCATTCAATCTACTCTCTTTAATTATCTAAAGCATAATGAACCCAAATGACTTAAGACACTGAAAAAAATTTATACAGGAAACTTTGATATTTTAGTTCTAAGTCCAATATATTCCTGAATTGTGTACAATAACTGAATTTATTGCAAGATGAATGAATTGGCCCTTGGCCATTTCTGAAGCTCTCACTCTTCAATGGAGGAAAAAAACAGAATACAAAAAAATTAAATTAAATTAGGTTCAGAAAACTGAATTATTAGGTTCTGGCAGAGGGGAGCTTAACCTGAGGTACACAAATTTGTTTTTTGTTTTTGATTCTGATAACTGTATTCCAATAACTGGTTTTCTTTATAATCCTAAGTATCTCATGCATTTAAAAACGTTACTCTGAGAGGGAGTCCATAGGCTTCAATGGAATGCCAAAGAGGTCCATAAGAGGGAAAAAAAAGGCTAAGAATTGCTGCTATAGAAGGTTTGTGATTTTAGCAAAAGAACAAATATGACAGAATACATATACAAAAAAACCCCAACTCCAAACAAGGCAAAATAACAAAAAAAGTTATCCATTTCAAAGTAGAACAGAAATAGAGAAAAATACCTTTACAAAAACTTCTGAACTAGCTAAGTTCTTCCTCCCTTTTTGGACATTAATGCTCTGTTTGTATCACAATGAGCTCCACACTGTTATCTCCATTTTGATGTCTCAGTAAAAAGGATCCTTTCACCTCATTAACCAAGCTGTTGCTGCTCCTTCAAGCTGTTTATTGCCAATCACAGCTATTTTATATATGTATATATGCATACACACATATACATATATAGACACATATACAAACATGTATGTATGTATATTTTACTTTATGGTGCCTTCAAGTATTTAAAAGAGCCATGTTATGGACAATATATCTTTCACTTCTTCCAAATGCCATTCTGACTTTCCATTACTCATTGTCTGGTCTATCCATAACTGAATTTTTGTTCCCTTCTCCAAAGATATCTATATATTTAAATAATAGAATGTTCACAACCACATTAGTAATCAATTTTGTCAAAAGAACTGCTCATAGGACTACATTTTTCATAATGTTCCTTTTACTTAACCAAGGAAGAATAATTTAAAGAATTTCATTGGTTGACTTCCACTCTCATCACAACTCACACGTATAATGCTTGAGAAAATGTGAACGAAATCGCCAGATGACCACTCTAGAATCCTTAGTTCTAGGGTTTACTTTCAGCACAAAATTCAAAATGAATAAAAAATAAAGGCATCTTGAAAATCGGAAGCAAATGATCTAAACTCCATAAATGTACCTTCCCCTTTTATTTGGTTTCCTACTATCCCATTACAGTTAGTTGAAATTCCACTACTAGGAAGTCTGTACATCAAAGTCAAAGATTACTAGTTGTTTTGGAGTTCTGGCACTGTTTCATTCTACAACACCACCTCATGAGAGAACTTATGAAAACCTTTCTAGAACTGGAGAATTTCAATAAAGACTGAGATAACTGGAGACACAATGAAGTCGAATGGAAGTAGAACTGGAATTGTGAGCTTAAATGTGCTATAACTATGTGTGAATAAAATAAATTTTGTGTGACAGTCATTCCTATTATAGTTATCACTACAGAAACTTAGATTTAAAGTAGCCAGGGAATGAAAGCTGATATTGGTAAGAATGTTTAATTCTTTCTAATTTCATGGAACTGTCTAATTTTCTTCCTAATTTTAAGGTGAATCTTTTTTTACTATGCTTACCTCTAATACTACCATGCCTGGTTCCTGTATTACAGTAATATTTTTGAACACTTTCAAAGCTGGTTTTTGCTGAATGTCAATTTCTTCTACATCACCTGAAAAAAAAGGAAACTTGCTTATAATGTACATACACATTTTCTGTTAATCATTTTCCTGATGTTTAGTTTCTATGCCTATGCTTTGGAATTTGTTGTCTTCTCGACTTTATATCACCTATATTTGCTCCTGTATCCCTTCCCTCTCCAACTCTCAGACCTATCCCATATAACAAAGAATATTTTAAAAAAGAAAAGAAATAGCAGAAGAGGAAAAAAAAATCAGGAAACTGATTAGGATATAAAAAATCTGAAAATATATGCAGTGTCTGACATCTATGGACTTCTCAGTTCTGCAAAAAGTAGGGGGAAGCATCTTCTCATATCTTTTCTTTGGGCCATGCTTATTCAGTGTATACATCTGTACTTTTTCTTACAACATAGTAATACCATAACATTTATGTATCAGATTGTTTGGTCATTCCTCAATTGATGGGCAATATACTTTGTTTCCAGTTCTTTGGTACCACAAAAAGTGCTACGATAAATATTTTGGTGTATACAAGACCCATCTTTTTGTCACTGAACTCCCTGGATCATATATACATCTTAAAGTGGAATCTCTGGGTCGAAGTGTATGAACATTTTAGTCATTATATTTACACAAATTCAAATCACTTTCTAAAATGATTGTGCTATCATAGTTTCTTCCACAATGTATGAAGTGTGCCTATCTTCCAACAACTTCTCCAACTTTGACTATTTCCATGTTTTGTCATCTTTGCCAATTTTCTAGGTGTGAAGTGAAACTTCAGGGATGCTTTGGTTTGCATTTCTCTTATCATTAGTGATTTGGCATAGTCTTTCATATTATTAATAGTTTACAATTCTTTTGAGAACTTTTCCCATGTAATTATATATTTTGCAATTGTTCTATCCCTTGTTTGGTTAAGAATATATCTCCTACCCATATGGACATATCAAAATTATCTATCAGGATAATGTATTATTTCATGATGAGTTCCTTTCAGCATGGCCCCTTCCTATCTAATTTTCTTACCCTTATTTCCTCCCATATATCCTTCAATCCACTGACACTGGCCTTCCCTGCTGTTTCAGGAACAAAAAAAGTCCTCTACCAACTTGGCATTTGCAGCGGCTATCCCCTATACTTTCTTTCCTCTCTCTTCTCTGCCTCTTGGCTTCCCTGAAGTCTCAGCTAAAATCTTATGAAAAACTTACTTAAAAACAAAACTCTTACTACAAATTTAAGAAGTGTCTCCCAGTCCTCCTTAATCTTAATACCTTACTTCTGAGATTATTTTCAGTCTTTTTTTGGTAGTTTATCAGAAAATATTTGCAAATTGTCTCTCCCATTAGATTATGAGCTCCTTGACAGTAGGGACTGTTTTCTGTCTTTCTTTGTATCTCCAGCCCTTAGCATAATACTTGGCACACAATAGGTACTTAATGTTTGCCAAATTGCAGTAAATAATCTCCTAAATCAGAGTTCAGGACAGATATATATTATACTAAATCCTGCACTACAGAAGATGATTTTACACTAATGATACAGGATAGTTTTCCTTTCTACCCATTAACTCAATTATTTTGAATTTCTATTGATTAATTAATCAGTAGGCATTTAATAAGCATATATTATGTGTTAAGCTCTGTGTTAATTTCTGAATAAACAAAAAAAAATCACATAACTTACATTGAAAAGAGGAGACAAGATAGATAAAATCAGCACACACAAGATAAAGACAGCAGACGGAAAATGATCTTAACGAAGATGGTCCTAGTAGCTGAGGGGTCCAGGAAAGGCTTTTTGAAGGAGGTGGTGCTTGAACCCAAATAATAAACGAAGCCAGGAATTCTCAGAATTGGAGGCTGAAAGGCAGAGCATTCCAGGCACAGGAAATAGCCATGGAGATAGAAGGAGGAGACATGTGCACAGAAGAGCCAATAGTGAGTGGATCACTGAGTTTGTGAAAGGGAAGAATGAGAGAAGATTGGTAGACTGTGAGGACCTTTAAAAGTCAAACAAAGGACTTTATATTTGACCCTGGAACTAAGAGAAAGTCACTAGAGTTATAAGGAATAAAAGCGTGATGTGGTCAGACCCATGCTTTAGAAAAATTATCATGGCTGATGAGTGGAAGATGGTGCATGATTTGAGGCAAGGACTATGAATAAGGGTAGTAGCTGTGTGAGTGGAAAGCAGACATGTGAGGGATGTAGATAAAGAAATTAACCAATTTGGCAACTGACTGAACGAAGCGTGAGATAGGGGAGTCAAAGATTATGATACCAAGTTTTTGAATCTATGTGATTTGAAGGATAGTGGTGGGCACAAAGGTAATAAAGAAATTCAGAAAACAGAAGGCAGCAGGGAAGAGGGAATTATGAATGCTGTTCTGGATATGCTGAGTTTAAGATGCTCATGAGACATCTGGTTGAAAAAGTCCAATAAAAAGTTGGTGATGCAAGACCTAAAGATGGATAAATCTGGGAATTATTTGCATGGGGATGACAACTTAACCCACAGGAACTGATGAGATTACCAAATAAGAGAAAAGAAAATAAGATCCAGAGCAATCCCTGGGGGACGCCCACAATTATAGGCACAACATGAAGATCTATCGTAAGAGATTGAGAAGGAATGGTCACACAGATAGGAGAAGAACAGAGAAGAGTCACGAAAATATATAGAGAAGGTGGCTAACAGTGTCAAATGTTGCAGAAGTTAAAGATGACAGTTGAAAAGAGGCCATTAGATTTGACAATTAAGAGAGTGTTTGTAACTTTGGTAAGAAGCAAGTTTAGTTGTAGAATGAGGTTAGAAGATCAACTGCAAAGGGCTGAAAAGAAAGTGAGAGAAGAGGAAACGGAAGAACCAACTTTAGATGTTTTTTTCAAGATTAGAAGTAAAGGAGAAAAGCAAAGCATCCCTTAAAACAAATAAAAAAAAAGGAGAAAGCAAGTCAGCAAAACTAATTAATACATAAACAGAATCTGACAGTAAGTGTAATGTTCTATAACCAGATACTCCCCTCTACAAAGAAGGGAAGAATATTGACTTTCTTATTTTGGAGAAAAGCTTTGTCACTAAAAATACACAGCATTCAGTGTTACAGGGTTCCTGGGTTCAATGACACTGTTGCAGACTTTGTGTATAGTACTTTCCTGATTCTGCTTATTTTACTCTGAATCAATTCTCATGCTAAATTCTTCATATTCATACATAATTTCTTTTTTTTTTAGGTGACATGACTTGCCCAGGGTCACACAGCTAGTAAGTGTTACGTGTCTGAGGTCAGATCTGAACTCAGGTCCTCCTGAATCCAGGGTCGGTGCTCTATCCATTGCGCCACCTAGCTGCCCCTATATTCATAATTTCTTATACCTCAAGAATATTTTAATAATTCATGTATCATAATCTGTTTAGATAATCTCCAACTGATGTCTATCTGCTTTGTTTATAATTTTTGGATGTCGCTAAAAAAGCTGCTAGGATCCTTTTCTAACTTTAGCCTTCTTGGGTATAATGACTAGCAGTCAGAATGATATCTGAAAGTGTCTGGCAATGTTAGCTACTTTTAAAAAACAGTATGTTTCCAAATTTCTTTCTAGAATGTTTGGACCAATCTACAGTCCTACCAACAACATATTAGTTTGCCTGCCTGTATTATTTCTGTCAGTTTGCTAAGAGTGAGGTGAAACCTCCAACTCGTTCTGATCTGCATTTCTTTTATCAGTGTCTAGGTGTAATCTATCATAAAATGAATAATTTGCAATTTTTCTAAAAATTGTTCACATTTTTTCACCATATTTGTTGGGGAGTAGCTCTTGGTCTTACATATTTGTGTTGGTTCCTTAACACATCTTGGACATATTGATCCAAATATTTTCCCCTATTTAGTTTCTCTTGTTATTCTACTTATATAGATTTTGTTCATGCAACAGCCTTCCAATTTCACATAATTCAAACAATCCACCTCACCTTTTTGACAGTTTTATCTTTCGTTTCATTAAAAACTCGTTCTCTAGCCATACCTGTGAATCTTGTTCTTGAATTATTTTTTATGCTGTGACTTTTCCTATTTAGGTCATTTACCATTTAAATAGTGTTGTGGCATATGATGCAAGTTGTTAATTTAAACATTAACTTACAAAACTGCTTTCAAATGTATGTCATATAAGACTGGTGTTTCATGCAATATGAATGAGGATTCCCTAAGAAAATCTAAATGCTATTACAATTACATAGTTCAGTACATCATAAACTGTAATTTCAATGATGTGGACAGTCCCTCTATCAATACAGACCTTTAATACAGTCCCTTTAAGACTAACTAGACATGGGGCAGCTAGGTGGCGCAGTGGATAGAGCACCGGCCCTGAAGTCAGCAGTACCTGAGTTGAAATCCAGCCTCAGACAAAACACTTGACACTTACTAGCTGTGTGACCCAGAGCAAGTCACTTAACCCCAGTTGCCGGAAAAAAAAAAAAAAAGACTAACTAGACAGTATTTATGAGTAGCTGTAGCTGAGAAAAAAAAAAGCATCACATCACTTGCAGGTCAATCTTCTACTGAGGAGCCTCTCCAAATTTTGCTAAGCTGGTCCTTAGATGACAGAAACAGTCTATTTACTGCTAGGCCCATATTAAAAGCTTTTCCAGCTTAGTTGTATCTATCATGGCCTTTGAGAACCCAGGATTACCTCCATGTCATCAACAAGTATTAGAGTAGGGCTACAGCTAAAGATAGAATTCTATAGAAATAAAAAAACCCTTTTTATTGATTGTAGCATATTTTTAGTATGAAAACAGGCTTAAATGCCTCTGTTCTGGAAAAAAAAAATTCCTACAAACTCTATTATGAGAGTATTCCTATCTTAAACAGTGACTGCCCCCCACAACTCCAAACACAGAATTTATGCTCCAAAGTCTTCTATGGCCAAACTCACTGGGAAATGCTGTTTTACAGTGTTCCTTTATTTTTTGTGTCACAGAATAGATACCTAACAAATGCTTGCTGATTAAGGGTGTTATCTGAAAGAGGGGTGAGGTGAGGTGGCAGACAGAAAACCGGACTCAGAGACTTGTTTATACTTACTTCTAGCAATAAGCTGGCAATGTGCCCTTGGGCAAGTTGCCTGAGAGTATTCTACACTGTAAGTTGGAGAACAAATAACAACATGCAATGATAGAGAAAGTTTCCTCACTGGGAATTGCCCATAACATTGAAAATACAGGCCTGGTACAAAATCTTTTAAAAAAAGAAAAAAGAAAAATTTGAAAGCATATTTTAAAATTTTAATATTATGTCTGCTTTACTAGGGACCGCCAACCCTGCCAGAACCCATCTTTTTATATTCACTTTATTTTTTCTTTTTCTTTTTAGAAGGCAATGGGGTAATGTGACTTGCCCAGGGTCACACAGATAGTAAGTGTCAAATGTCTGAGGCCACATTTGAACTTAGGTCTTCCTGAATCCAGGGCTGGTGCTCTATCCACTACGCCATCTAGCTGCCCCCATATGTTGCTTTCCATATGTTGCTTTAGAATAAAACTTTGCATCAAATTGTTACCTTTCATGATAAAAGGATATGAGATTAGAGACTTAAAGCTAGACTTGACACCAAGGTCACCCAGTCTAATTCCCTTATTTTACAGATGAGGAAACAGAGTCAGTTGACTGACTCTAAATCTAGTATTCCTTCCATTATACCATTACTCACTGACTTGTGGAAGAGCAGTTTTAAGAAGTACTACTGCCTTTAGCCTATGTGAGTGTATACAGCTATCCAAACTTATTTATGATATGTATGACATTTGGATAAAAACTAAAAAATCATTTTGCATGGAAAAAAAAGCAAATTATATTAACTTTCAGTTATAGTCAACTAAGCTTACATTTTAAAGACTAACCAAAGTGGAAGCTATAGGAGTTCTTCAGATTTAAATGATGAAACATGCTAATTATCTCCTAACATAGATGATGGACTCAAGAAGCAGAATAAGACATTTTTTGGAATAGCTAATGAGGAAATTTGTTTTGCTTGACCATGCATATTTATAATAAGGCTTTGATTACCTTTCTTTTTCAGTGACGGTGGAAGGAGGTGAAAGGGAGAAACAACAGACTTTTTGTTAATTGAAAAAAATATTAGGTTAAAAAAATTAATGTAGTCACAGGCCAGGGGGTAGCATGGGACTTTTTTTTGGTATCTATTTATAATGTTCTTTTCTTTTTTTTCTTTTCTTTTGCTTTTTTTGGTGAGGCAATCGGGGTTAAGTGACTTGCCTAAGGTCACATAGCTAGTAAGAGTTAAGTGTCTGAGGCTGAATTTGAACTCAGGAAGGCCAGAGCCCTATTCACTTCACCACCTAGCTGCCCCCTATTTATAATTTTCAAAGTATTCACCTAAAGGAAAATCGTTTCGTTACTTGACCAGGCCAGTTCAAATAAAGCAAGATAGAAACTTTTCCTACAACCCCTAAACACCAAAAAAATTTACTTCGTTTTTTTTTAATACTTATTTGTGTACACATTGTTACTCCCAGTACAGTATGAGCTCCTTGAAGATGAGAACTGGTCCGTTGTCTGGACATGCTCAGTGGCTAGCAAAATGTGTGGCATCTAGTAAGGCACTCAGTAAATGCCTGCTGTATTGAAGTGATAATGAAATGCACACTAATAAAGACTAAAACATACTTTCCTATAATTCCCGTTATCTCACATATACAGTAATTAGAACAAATTTCCACATTCACCTGTCAGTTTCTGTAGCTGATAAAACAGCAAACTAAAAGGACCAGTGTAGGGAATGGCTTGAATCTGTTTTACAGTGCTCATTGCTAAATCTGTATAATCTGAAACAACAAAAAAAAGAGAATATTTTAAAAAACGCAACACAACTCCCACAGAATATAGTTTATAATTAGATATACTAACCAGAGAGGGACTGAAAAGGAAAAGCAAATATGAATTTCACTTTAGGAATATGACCAATTCTAGTTTATGTACAACCTACACAAACACATTCTCTTATTTATGATGCCCAGCTAATGGCCACAGGAATACAATTAAATGAATTCCCTTTGTCTCTTCCACACTACAGGTGCAATCAGCCTGACAGCCTTGCTTGACCTGTAAACATTTTTCTAGTCTGATTGTACATTTCATTCCATTTGTACTCTATGTTCCAGCCAAACTGGCCTACTTGCTATGCCGTATAAATCTGACATTTCATTTCCCATCTTGATTCTTTGCACAAACAGTCCTCTGAACTTGGAATGAACTTTTAGCACCTGGCATATGGGTCTGGCTTAATAAATGTTTGTTGGATGAATGCCCGAGGTCATACAACTAGTAAGTGGAAAAAAGATTTGTTGCATCTTTTGAAACCATTTCACCCCACATTCCCTGCACTCCCTCAGTGTTCTTTCTACTATATCACATGGCATATATCCATAGGTCTCCCCCTCACCAGTCACTCCTGCCTTACCTTTCATTTGCTAATTGTTCAAATCTGTTAGAACTTGAGGACAGAGACAATACATAACTAATGATAAAGAAAATAAAACTACTTTTCTTGGACATTCAAGTTACTTTGAGGAACCACCAGAGTTTCACTGTCAGAGAAAAGAAGGGGAATGAAAAGTCAGCAGTTAGTCATTCTTCAGAACATACTTACAGTTATATCAGGGAATTTTTAAAAGACACAATTTAGAAATTGGCCTTATTATTGGCAGGACAATAGTGAAATCACTTAAACACTTTGGGCAGCAGATTTCTTCATTTACAAGTGGACTAGAACTACAGTTATTCTTTTCAGCTCCAAATCATCTGGATCTATGGATCTTATAATTTTTCATATCAATTTTATTTCAATTTATAATTTTAATTTAAGGTTAAGGTCAAATTATATTTAAAATACAATTATGTTACATTTTAATATATAACATAATCACAGACATATGTAATATACAATAATATATTAAATATTTAATTAAAGATCAAATTACATTTAATAAACAGACCATTTAATAAGTACTTACTGGAAAGATCACAAGGAGAAAGAATATGATAATTAAAGTTTCGTTTAACTAGGATTCCTGAAACACGTTGTCCTTGTTCAGGTTTCTTGTCTGCTAAGAAGCCCATAACCTATTTTTAGGAAGAAAATAATAACTGGAAGAGAATCTTGGAAGGTTAAGCAATCCTCAAATATTCAGACTGAAAATCTTGACCTCAAGGCATTTTTACCACGAAAACAATGAACTACCTCAAGAATACAAAAATACATTATGAAGTTATCAGAGCATCATGCTTACTCAGACACCTTAAAAGAAGGTTCCAGAAAGACAAACATCCAGAATGCTTAGGAAAGGGGCCTAATAGCTACATAGCTGAATCAAAGTGTACACAACTGAAGGCCTCACACAGTTTTAGTAACCTTTTTGGCCATAGCTCCAAATTTTTTTCTAGAATGGCTTGACCAATTCATAGATCCCTGCTGAGAGTGGACAAGCCAGCAGCAGTTTGCCGTTGCTCAAGGAGAATATTTAAATTCATGCCTAAAAAACAAGAGCCTAGACATCTTATTTCAAGAAATTTTAAAAGAAAACTGCTTAAATCTCTTAGAACTAGATGGCAAAGAGAAATAGAAAGAATCCACTGGTCTGGACTGAAAGAAACCCCAAAATAAAAACTCCCAGCAACATTATAGCCAAAATCCAGAGCTTCATGGGCAAAGAAAAAAAGAACTGAAATACTGAGGAGCCAGTCAGGATCACACATGATTTAGCAGAAGCAGAAATGGAAGAGCAGAAATCAAAGGATATAGGTTTAAAGTCAAGAATAACTTACCCAGTAAAACTGAGTATAAATTCTACAGAGCAAAAGAAAATGAACCTTTAATGAAAGAGGACTTTTAAGACAAAAAGGCCAGAGCTACACAGACACTCTAAAGTTCAAACCCAAGAGCGAAGAGAAATATCAAAAGGTAAACCTGGAAACACTTGCATGAATTAATAAAGAGAGGAGGGAACAAAACCAGATCAATTTACACACACACACACACACACACACACACTCTCTCTCTCTCTCTCTCTCTCTCTCTCTCTGCCAATGTGGAAATTTGTTTTGCTGACTATACATGTTTAGAACAGGGATTTTATTTTTCCTTCATTCTCAATGAGGGGTGAAGGAGAGAGAAAGCAGGATTTTTACAGATTGAAAAAAAAATTTTTTTAATGAAGAGCAAAAAAAAAAAAATTGACTAACACCATAGAAAATTTGAGACATGGAAAAAAATCAGATTGTACCTAATTTGTGAAGTTTGTACAAATGTCAGTTATCACTGTCACAAACGAAGATCAATTTCATATGGCTTCATCTATCAAATGATGTGTAAAGCATAAACAATGTCTATTTTAGGTAAGGCCCATTTAAATGAGGAAACGACAAACAACTGACTTGTATTCTTATAAATTTGACTTAATTCTCTATATATTTTAGAAATGAGGCCCTTATCAGAGATACAAGTTGTAAAAATTCTTTCCCAATTTTCTTTTCTTTCTTTTTTTTTTTTAAAGGCAATTGGGTTTAAGTGACTTGCCCAGGGTCACACAGCTAGTAAGTGTCAAGTGTTTGGTCTGAGGCCTGATTTGAACTTAGGTCTTCCTGACGTCAGAGCCCGTGCTCTATCCACTGCACCACCTAGCAGCCCCTCCCAATTTTCTACTTTCCTTCTAATCTTGGTTGCATTAGCTTTGTTTGTACAAAAACTTTTCAATTTAATGTAATCAAAGCTATCCATTTTGCTTTTCTGTAACGTTCTCTATCTCCTGTTTGGTCATGAATTCTTCTGTTTTCCATAGATCTGATAGGTAAACTATTCCTTGCTCTCCCAGTTTGCTTACAATATCAGCCTTTATATCTAAATCCTGAATCCATTTTGACTTTATCTTGGTATATGGTGTGACATTTTGGTCTATGCCTAGTTTCTGCCATATTCTTTTCCAGTTTTCCCAGCAGTTTTTATCAAAGAATGAGTTCTTATCCCAGAAGCTGGGGTCTTTGGGTTTATCAAATAATAGATTACTACCGTCATTCACTACTGTGTCTTGCATATTTCATCTATTTCACTGATCCACCCACTCTATTTCTTAGCCAGTACCAAGCAGTTTTGATGACTGCTGCTATTAATACAATTTAAGATCTGGAATTGCTAGGCCACCTTCTCCTTTTCATTAGTTCCCTTCATATTCTGGACCTTTTGTTCTTCCAAATGAATTTTGTTACTATTTTTTTTAACTCCATAAAATAATTTTTTGGTAGTTTGATTGGTATGGCACTGAATAAGTAAATTAGCTTAGGTAGAATTGTCATTTTTATTACATTAGCTCAGCCTATCCATGAGCAACTGATGTTTTTCCAATTATTTAGATCTGACTTTGTGTGAAAAGCATTTTGTAATTGTGTTCACATAGTTCCTGGGTTTGTTTCAGTAGGTAGACTCCTAAACATTTTATAATGTCTACAGTAACTTTAAACGGAATTTCTCTTTCTATCTCTTGCTGTTGGGCTTTGTTGGTAATATAGAGAAATGCTGATGATTTATGTGGGTTTATTTTATAGTCTGCAATTTTGCTAAAGTTGTTTATTATTTCAAGTAGTTTTTCACTTGATTCTCTAGGATTCTCTAAGTATATCATCATATCATCTGCAAAGAGTGATAGCTTTGTTTTTTCTTTGCCTATTCTAATACCTTCAATTTCTTTTTCTTCTCTTATTGCTAAAGCTAATGTTTCCAGTATGATTTTGAACAACAGTGGTGATAATGGACATCTTTGTTTCACCCCTGATCTTACTGGAAATGCTTCTAGCTTGTCCCTATTACATATGATGCTTGCTGAAGGTTTTAGATAGATGCTATTCATTATTTTAAGGAAGATTCCATTTACTTCTATGCTCTCTACTGTTTTTCATAGGAACAGGTACAACAAACAACTGAAAACATCTCTCGCTAAAGTACGTGATCAAATGCAGATCTAAAATGAACAACCAGAGGCCAAAGTATTTTCAAGTCTTTTGTCCTGACTTTTGCTGATACAAGAAAATGATGGGAGAAAAAGTATGACGGCTCAAAAGATATAAAGAAACTCTGTCTAGGGGCAGCTAGGTGGCACAGATGATAGAGAACCGGCCTTGGAGTCAGGAGGACCTGAGTTCAAATCCAGCCTCAGACACTTGACATTTACTAGCTGTGTGACTTGGGGCAAGTCACTTAACCCCAACTGCCTCACCAAAAACAAAAAGCAAGAAACTGTGTCTAACAGCCCAAATAGGGTTATAGAATTTTCTAAGTTACAGAATAATTTATGTGCAGTTTCACTTATACGTATCACAAAAAGTACTGCTACTCCAATGCCTTATCCTGAATTCTGGAAGACAATGTCTATGAACACAAGTTCTGAAAGAGCTACATAGAGTATTAGCTACTGTCTGACTAAAAGCCTAGCTAGGTATGGAAAGATTTATCACTAGAAGACTGGCCACTAGGTGATGAATCCTTTGGTCATGGTAACTCATGAAATGGAAAATTAAAAGTGTCTGGCTCACAATGTTGAATTAGCCTCTTTCACTTCTGCAATGATAGTACATTGGTGAAAGAAAAGGGGGCAGAATGTTAAGAATCATATAGCTTTGAATTATCAACATTAACTATTAATAATAATGAGCTTCTTGTCTAATTACCAATGAGCAGACATACCACTGGAGGACTTAAATCACTATAAATATTAATAGAAGGATGGCTCATGGGTTCTCTCTGAAGAGGCAAATAGAATTGATTTGATTATGCGTTCATGACAACAAGAAACATCATTTCCTAGTGAGTCATCTCACCTTGTCATACTCATGAAAAAGACCAATGTAACGATAACTGCAGCTTATGTAATTTGAAGAAGCTAAGGTAGAGGAATCTCACAAAGAATCTGTCAAGGTGTCCCAAACTAAGTCAACATACACTTTTAACATCTGATGACTTCTATGACAAGGAAGATGTAGTAGAGGACAGATAGAAATGTTATTTTTGAATCAGCTACCTAGATATACAAGTCAAGAGGAGCAACCTGTTAAAGCTAACAACACCAAATAAGAAATATCTAAAGATGAGATGATGAGGCATGCAATTAAAACAGCTCTAACCTGACATATTAATGTTCAAAAAAAGGTAATAGATAAAACAGATTCTGGAAAGTAGATAATAACACAAATGACCATAACTCTCTTTGGAAACTGAACAAATATAGAACTAATATAAAGTAAACACAACAAAAGATCTCAGTGTTTTAAAAATGGCCTCAGCCAGCAAACACTTGATCTTCTGAAGTGGAAAGATATGGAAACCAAGGACACTGGTTCAGAATATTAAACTTACAGACAATTCTTGCTCTATGAAAATTTGCAACATGCAAAGATGACTCCACATACAGAATTTTGAAAGAAATTTGCATTCCAATCCCCCCAATTCCTCCCCCCAAACTTACGTTAACTTTACTGTACAGTACTATGTTCTCTCTCTCTCTGCTCCTGCCCCTTGGCTTGGCACTCTACGGCCTCCCAACCTACCCCTCCTCCTCAAAAAACAAAAAAATCCTCCAAGTGAAAGACAAGAATGAATGTATGGCGAGATTACCAATGGCACTTCTGAAATGTGGGCGTGGCTTGAGAGCTCTTGCACTCAGAGACAAGACATTTGCCCCATTCTGCCCACCCACCCATGTGTCTGTCCCCAGCTCACATGTATTCCTCCTCCTGCTCTTGCTTCTGTATCCTTTGGCCTCACATGTCCTTGAACCATGTGCTGGCCTCCTTGTACTGCCCCCTCTCAATGTCCATGAGCAAATATTACTTAAAAAGTGCTTTACACAGAGGTCTGCAGAATGGTCCACTTATGTAAAGTGAGAACTGTCTGTATGTGCAATATCTTACAGAGTATAACATAATGAACAAGTTACTGCCTCACAAAATAGCAATAAGGCAGTAGTGGGGAAAATGATTTTGCACAAAATATGGCAGAAAACTGTCCAGTGAATAATTAAGAATAAAAGTGGAAGAAGGACAACAAACATGAAAAATGTTAAGAAACTGTCAATCTTTCTACAACTACCTCTTTTTTTCCCATCAACGACAATGGAATCACTACATTTGTATTCTAATATATAAACTCTTGGTATGCTATAAGAAGAAATACAAATGGCACCAATGAAAAAAGGATAAATTATCCAGAAACAGATGAGTTAAACAAATGATTTTAGTTACATATACTTTCAGCTGGAGCCTAACTTTTCTACTACACTGACCTTTTAAGCAAATGCTATAGAGTTCTAGACATTCAGCATAAGCTTGTTTAATTTTGCAAAGACAAAAACTTTCCCACAAGTTATTTTGTAGAAGAGTATATCCTAAATGTTGAAAGCAAATACAGGAAATATTCACTCAATACTTCCAACACTTTTGAATCAATCTTTGGATGTTCTAAGGCACTGGTGACAAGAAAGGACATTAATTGTAATATTCATTAACTGGTTCCTCCTTGCCTGATTCATTATGTATGAAAAGAATGTCAAGCTAAAATCAATACAAACATAGATGACTGCTATTTATAACTTCAGACAAATCATTAACAGCCATATTCCTCAGATTCTTTAGCTAGCCTGAAAAGATTTTTATAGGAGAGATGCTGACTGAAGATAGATTTCCTGTGGCCCTTATGGCCAAGGCTTGTGAATATTTTACTTCTTAATCTTCAAAGTACTGTTATCTTGTTAAAAAGTAGGAACTCAAATTCAAGTGAGGAAAGGAAGATGAGATAAGTGGTATGTGCCCTCCTCCCCCAGGTTCAAATAGGCTCTAAGCTCAATGCCTTCTACAGGAGTACTGAATTGGCCATTGACTTAAGCCTGTGACTCCCTTGGGGGGAAGGACACCTTCTTCCTCATAAAACTTGGCCCCCTGGGAGAAATCATTAGCTGGCCCTGTGGAGGAGGATGCCCTCAGCTATTCCAGCTGGGAGAGCAGGGGCAGGCAGCTGAGACGTACTGAACGTGAGCCCCCTACTCCCTGCCTGCCTTCTTCAGAGGCAAAAGCAGCTGGATGGAAGGGAAGGGAAGTGGGGAGGTGTCATTAGCCAATGATGCTTGGCTCCTGGATTTCAGCCTGTGGCCAATTGAGAAATTTAGCAGGTCCCTCTCTTCTCAGAGAAGAAACCTTAGCCCCAAAGGGCTCTGCCACTTTGGGGCTGGGGCCATTTCTACTAGTGGACTGCTAACAGAGAAAGAAAATAGTCTTTCTCTTCCTTTTTCAAGTGCCCCACTTTCTCAAGAGCCTTCTTGGCTGGACAGTTCTCCTTTTATGAATGGGTCCAGTGCATCTGGCCCCTTCTCCTTTGAGGATTCTTTGAAGCATTTACCTTTCAAAGTTTTTCCAGGCTTTTCTCCTCCCCTCCAACCCCCCTCCCGCCTTGTGTCCTTCCCATCTTTAATCTTCCTGGGCCTCGGCTTCCCAATTTGTGAAACAAGGGATTTGAACTAGATGTTCTCCTAGCTCTCCTTTCTAGCTCTAAATCTTATCCCTCCTCTCTCCCTGCTGGATATTAAATTGGGATAGGTCACAGGTCTCAGTGTGCCAGGATGCCCAGAGTCAAAATGGGTAGTCATCAAGGAGGGGCCGTCACAAGCATGGCTTTGGTGCCCCAGCCTCTGTGATGCATCAGGCACCCACAGAAGAGAGTCCTAAAGCACTGGGTAGCATTGGGGACTGTACATAGAGATACTGTATTTCTTTTTTGTAACTATTATTATTTTTTAATAAAAGGTGCTGAGCTTATTTACAAAAAAAAAAGTAGGAACTCAAATGAATAATTCTTCATAAATGACTCCACATTGATAAAAAAAAGTCCATAAGAAATTAATGTTGTTTTATAGCTCAAAATTCATTAGTACACCCCCACCCACAAAAAAAAAGTAAAAGAAGAGAAAGAAAGAAAGAAAGAAAGAAAAGAAAGCACTGATAGGCAATTATTTGAAGCTCTGATAGCACAGCACTTGGTTCTAAGAAGTACTGAGTTTACCCCTATATGTGAAGTCTTTATCTTTAGATTTTCAGAAATGAAGAGGTGGTTATAGCCTGGGAAGGGTTAATGAAACTGGAAATAAAACTGATTAACAGTCTGTTTTGAAAGGGTAATGCCATAAACTGAGTTAAACACTGACTAATAGTTGTAGGAATCATTTAAGAGCAATTAAGTGTCACACTTAAAATTTAAACCATGTGGAATGAGAACAAGTATTTGCATGTATGAGAATGATTAATCGGCAGCAAACATGAAAAGATCATAGATTTATAAGTAAAAGGGACCTCTAGTCCAAATTCCTTTATTTCACAGATGAGGAAACTGGGGCACAAAAAAGCTAATTAACTTGCCTAAGGTCATACAAGGTAGCAAGTACTTTGAAATAAAATTCTAATATCAGATATAATTTAAGGTCCTTGAGGGCAAGGATTTTGTCTTTGTTATCTCTCTAGTGCCTATCACAGCACCTAGCTCATTGTAGGCACTTAAAAACTGCTTACTGATTACACTATGTTTAGCTCATCCTACACAGACAACATATAGAACGGCTCTTAAAGCAATAATCTCAAATGGATTAAAAGTTGACTTCTCTGAAGAAATATATAATCCTAATGAAGAAAATCCTCGATTTTTATTAAGAAGGCTAACCTCATACCTTGGCTAATTTTTCTCCTCGGAAATTTAATGTTACTGCTTCAGTATTTCGAGGATTGTGAACTTCTATGTGAACCTCATCATTATCTTCGTATTCTCTTATCAATGCTGCTTTCAATCTTGCCATTTCATTCTGCTCTCCATGCACCAGTATCTAGATGGAAAAAATATTACACATTAAAGAATCTTTACTTATTCAGCTAATATCTGAGTAATATTTTCATTTACTCAACTAATGAGCTAGTATGAATTAGGGAAATACCTAAAATACTGATTAAAAAACCGTGGTTTTACTGCTTTAGGATATACATTAAACTGCAATAGGAGATGGAAGCATTTTTATCTTTTTTTTTGTTTTGCTTTTTAATTAAAATGTTTCTGAAATTAATAAACAGCAAATGAAATGGGCATTTCCACAGACAAATTAGAAAAAGAAACTGCAAATCTCTATTGCACACAGCTAGGTTTTCTTTAAAAATAAGTAATAAATTCAACATGTAACTTAAAAAGCTAACCTATTTGTTTGTGATTCTTTATGTCCTCCCCCTTCCTTCTGTACATTGTGTTTATATGTTCTTCAAGTTGCGAAAAAAAACTTAAAATTTTCTTATTTCCAAACAATGAAAATCTACCTTCTTTCCCTTCTACCTCCTTTACTATCTGTGCCACCCCCAAGCATGAGAAAGAATAACAAAATCCCTGTTAAAAACATGTACAGTCAAGCACCTATACTGGCAATATCCCCTCAAAAATGTCTCATGCTGCACTCAAGAGTTCATCACCTCTCTGTCAGGTGGCATGTGGTAGCATGTTTCACCCTGAACTCTTTTGAACTGTGCTTGGTCACAGAACTGATCTGAGTTCTTAAGTCTTTCAAAGTTGTCTATAATATTTTTACTGTATAAACTGTTCTCCTGGTTCTGCTAACTTTATTCAGCATCAGTTCATATAAGTCTTCTAGGTTTCTCTGAAACCATCCTCTGCATAATTTTTACAGTATTTTGTATAAAGACAGAAAGAAAGAGGAATAAGGAGGGTATATGAAGTGAGAGAGAGGTCCTAAGCAAAACAAACTATCTAACAAAGGATGTACAAAAAGTACTTCTTTTTGTGGTAATAAAGAACTGGAAATTGACGGGGTGCCCATTAAACACAGAATGGACAAACAAATTATTATACATGAATGTAATAGAATACTACTGTGCTATAAGAAATGATGAAGGGAACGGTTTCTTAAGTTCATTTTTATAAAAGATCTTTCAATGTTCCTTTTTTTGCTATTTTATCCTCATACTCCCTTCTTTTTCCAACCCAAAATTGGAGGTGGGGTGTGGGATGGTGTGGTGGTGTATGGAACAAATCCCTTATAATAAACATGCACAGTCAAACAACACAAATGCCCACACTGGCCATGTCAGTTGGTAGGTAGCATGCTTCATGATTGGCCCTCTAGAATCAAAATTGATCACTGTATTGATTTGAATTCTTAAGTTTTTCAAAGTTATTTTCCCTTGTAATATTGTTTTATATGCAAGTAGTCTATTTGGTTTTGTACAATTTTCTCTATGCCATGGCACAGTAGGAATTCAATCTAATTCTAACAACTTTCCTTGTCCTCTTACTTTTTAATAGTGAGACTTTATATTTAGCTTATGCATTTTGAATAAATTATGACACATGGTATAAATGCTGCTTCAAAACTATTCTTTTTTGCTTGACTACTTTCTTTTCTTCTTTTCTTTGGCTGGGCAATGGGGTTAAGTGACTTGCCCAGGGTCACACAGCTAGTAGGTGTTATGTGTCTGAGGCCACATTTGAACTCAGGTCCTCCTGACTCCAAGGATGGAGCTCTATCCACTGCGCCACCTAGCTGTCCCTGCTTGACTACTTTCTAATTTTCCCTGCTATTCTTGTTGAGCAATCTTTACCTGTAATTCTAATGTATATTTGGATTTATCAAAGATTAAATTCCTGTGTGCTTCTAAATGTTACTTACCTAATCTATGACACTGACAAACTTTTCTGTTCACCAGTACCAAACAGTTTTTATACTTATAACTTTACTGGATAATCTGAGACCTGCTTATGCCACAACCACAAAACATTCCTTTCTCCATCATTTTCCTACATATTTATAACCTGTTTCACCATGTGAATTCTGTTATTCTTTTTGTCTCATTCTATAAAGCATATTCTTAGCAATTTTACTGGTAGTGTTAAATTTACAGATTATTTGAAAGAAAGCAGTCTCAGTATAGTTGTACTATACAGGCATGGATCAACCATGGATATTAAATATCTTCCCATTTATTTATATCTTTTTTTCCCGTGAAAATTATTTTATAGTAGGATTTAAGTTCTATAAGCTTTTTAGTACGTTAAATCTAGATATCACAGATCTATAGCAGGAAGGGAACTTATAAGCCATGAAGTTCACTCTCCTTTTACATATGAGGAAACTAAAGCATAAAAAGGAGTTAAATGACTTTCCCAGGATCACTTTGCTAGTGTGTGAGACATGATTTAAACTGAAGCCTTCCTGAACCCAGATCTAGTGCTTTAACCACTATACCATACTGAAGGAATCTCAAACTTATTATGTCTAACTCAGAACTTAATACCTGAGTCCTCCTCCCAGTCCTCTGCATTTTCAAACTTTTTTGGCATTATCATAGACACTTCACTCCCTCACCCCACATATTCAATCAGTTACCAAATTTTGGCATTTCCCCCTTCACAATATTTCTCCCATATGTCCCTTTCTTTATGCACACAGCTAAGACCCTAGTTCCTGAAACTCTTCACTTCTCCCTGCTCTACTGCAATCATCGCGTCCCTGGCCTCCCTGCCTTAAGTCTTTCCACTCTCCAATCCATCTTCCGCGAGTGATTTTTCTTAATGGGAAAGTTAGTATCCAATATAAGCTCCTCTGTTTGGCTTTTAAAGACCCTTACAACCAGAGACCAACTAACTTTCACAACCTTACTACAGATTATCTACCTTGCCACTCTTTTGACCAGACAAAATCGCCTTTTTGCTATTTTTGTTGTTGAGTCATTTCACTTGTGTCCAACTCTTTGTGACCCCACTTGGGGTTTTCTTGGTAAACCTACTGGAATAGTTTGCCCTTTCCTTCTCAAGTTCATTTTACAGAAGAGGAAACTGAAGCATTCAGGGTTAAGAGACTTGCCCAGGGTCACACAGCTAGTAAGTCTCTGAGAGCAGATTTGAACTCAGGTCTTTCTGATTCCTGGCTCAATGCTCTATCCACTGCCCCACCTATCTGCCAGGTGCCATTGTTACCCATCTCCTATCTCTTTACCTTTATAGTGGCCGTTTCTCATGCCTGAAATGCTTTCCTATCTCAATTCTAACTCTCACAATCTGTTACTTTAGAAGCTCTGCTCAAGTGCCACAGGCTACCTGAAGCCTTTCCTGATCTTAAAGGTTCCTCATGACTTTGAGGTCAGAAACTGTTTCATTTTTGTCTTTGTATTAACAATAAAAATATAAATGTCCCTACTGAAAACAAAGAAGATAGGAAAAGTAGTTGAATCAGAGTAAGTACACACAAAGAAGGTCTATGCAGGAGTTGACACAATTTCGAAGGTACTAAGGGACTACTGTCCCTCTATTTCCTCCTTCTTAGGGGATTTTTTCTCTTCTTTGTCATTTTTTGGGAGGATGGTAGGACAATATGTCCATTGGAAGGAAAGAGCAGCAGACTTGGAATCAGAGGAAGAAATCCTGGTTCTGTCGTTTACTACCTGTGTGACTCTGATGACTAAGTAATTACCCATTCTGGGCCTATGCAAAATGAAAGGATTGGACTAGATGACTTCTAAAGTCCCTTCCAGTAGTAGTAAAGATTTAGGGGTGTAGTATAAATTGAAAAAAATGTATTTGTACATTGTGGAAATAAAAATGAAAGATTCTAATTCATTTAAGCTCTGGAATTCTGCTTCTTCATCAGTAAGAGGAAGTCAAACTAAATGATTTCTAGGCTTCCTCCCAGCTCCAAGTCCTATGATTAAGATAGAGGGTTGAGTCCCTTTTCTACAACTTTCTAGCTGGAGGATCCTGCTACATGTCTCTATTTACTCATCTATAAAATATGCTTGCACTACCTACTTCTCAGAAATCTCTTATAATAATAAACCTTAAAACACGAAAATAAATGTGAGCTAATAATAACAAATAATATAAAAACATATTTCAAAGAACTTAGTGTCTGTTATAAACATCATGAATGAACAACTTCTCCCACAGTACTCAAAAGAGCATAAAAAACAGTGCAGTGCAAGTGCACCTGAGAGTATATGCTGTGGCTATTGCCACATTAAGGATCACAGAAGGAAAAGTGCACTTATCTAGGAATTAGGCCAATTTTAATGGAAATAGGTGCATGAAGGGGAGTGATGTGCAATGTTTGGAAAGGAGATCTCTGGTCAGCTTACTAAAGAGTTTTGAGGAACAGAATAGGTAAGAAAAGGGTGTGCCCAAAGGATGGGCTCTGCAAGGTGACAGAAAAGTCTTAGTGCTAAATGACTTAAAACTGTACTAAGACTTTGGGGACATGCTTTATTTTCTTAATCAACACATATTTATTAATCAGTCAATTAACTGAGGTAGCTAGATAGCATCGTGGATACAGTTCCAACTTGGCTTTAGACAAGAGCTATGTGACCCTAGTAAGTTACTTATACTCTCTCTTTGCATCAGTTTCCTTAACTATAATATGAGGATAACAATAGCACCTACTTCCCTGGGTTGTTGTGAGGATCAAATGAGAAAACATTTGTAAAAATCACTTAGCATACTACTTGACACATAGTAGGTGCTTTATTAGTGTTATTCCCTTTTTCTTACCCTAATCAACTTCAATATGTTAGGTACTGTGCTAGGTGCTGAAGATACAAACACCTCCCCACCCCCATTCCCACTCCCACTCCCACAAAAGAGAGGAAAATATTTTCTGCTCTTACAAACGTGCATTCTATTTGGGAAGACAACATGTACGTACACATACACATGCACGCACACACACACACTCATGTATAAGTACACATAAAATGAATACGAAATAGATCAAAGGAAGTTAGGAAGAGAGAGAATTAGCAGTTGTTGCTGAGACTGGGAGGCTGCCTGAGGAGAGTGTAGGAAGCTTTGAAGAAAGGAGTTTGAAACAGCCTCTGTGGGAATGAGAAAAGGATTCTTGGTAGTGCTGAGGGATGAACTGAAATTAGATAACAAATCTGTTGAAGAAACACTCAGGCCAATTGGGTGACTTCTCCAGCCTCATTCAACAATATATGAGTTGAACCAGCAGGCAAGGTAGTTGGGGTAAACCTCCCAGGGATGGGGGTATAACAAGACAAGGGACAAGGGAACACGAGATCAGAGAGGTAAAAACAGCGTATGGTGGAAGTGATTAGCTATAGGGTCAAAGTTAGGAAGGGAAGAAAATGAGGGCAGAGAAGTGGTGACAGTGTAACAGAGCAGGAAATAAGTGAAATGGAGGTAAAAATGAAGAATATGTTAAGAAAGGGTGGGGTACAGGAGGAGTTGGAAGAATAGGAGACTATAATAAAAGCTAGCAATTACATAATGCTTTAAGGTTTGCAATGTATTTTACAAACATGACTCATTTTATTCTCAAAACAACTCTAGAAGGAAGGTGCTATTATTATCCTCATTTTACAGATGAGGACACTAAGGCTCAGCGATATTAGAGACTTGCTCAGACGATGTATTTGAACTAGTTTCTACCTGACTCCAGGTCTAGAGCTCTATCCACTAAACCAACCTATGTTATCTCTAGAACAATGGTGTCAAACTCAAATAGAAATGATTCCCTATGGGCTACATATTATTGACTCAGAAAACCATAAATAAACATTATCTATGTTTTATTGTATGGTTAGCATTATTTCAGAGTTCAAAATCAGCAGCTGGCAAACTGTGGCCTGAAGGTCAAATCCAGGCCCTGTCTGATTCTGGACAGCCATCAAGCTCTCACCTAGCTGAGTGACCTAGAGTCACAGGAAAAGAAGAGGGGGGAGAAACTCTCAAAAACATGCACCTGACCCAATCTCCTCTCTTCTTTTCTATCATATTGCTTCTCAATTACTACCCCTTGCCCTCTCCAATCTTCAATTTCTGTCTAAAGGTCCCATCCCTATCATTTTCAAACTTGTTCAAGTCTCCATATTCTTAAAAAACCCTCATTAGGGGGTTTTAAAGACCCTACTATTCCCTCAAAGTTTCATCCTATGTTTTTCCCTCTCTTTTTCCAGCCAAATTCCTAGAACAAGATGTCAACATCTTTACTTCTCTCGACCCTTTGCAATCTGGCTTTCAATCTCATCACTCAGCTGAAACTACTATCATCAAAACTATCTCCAAAACTACTATCTCTTAAATGTCATATATGACGGTTTTTTCTCACTCTTCATCATTCTTTTACTCTCTGACATTGTTGAAAATTCTCTCCCCTTAGTCTCTCTTCTCTGTGAATTTGTGACAGTGCTTTTTTTTGGGTCCCCTCCTACCTATCTGACCATTCCTTTACAGTTTCCTTTACACAATCATCATCTGCCTTACCTTATCACACCACCTCACTGTTCACGTCCTTAGAGACATTGTCCTAGGCCCTCTTTTCTTGTATATATACACTCTCAGTGATCTTATTAGCTCAAATAAGTTTAATTATTATCATTATGCAGATGACTCCTAGGTCTATATATCTGGCCCTAGTTTTTCCTGAGTTTCAGTACTGCATCATTAACTGTCTAGTATATTTTTCAACCTGTATGTCCTAGAGATAACTCAAACTCAACATGTCCAAAATTGAATTCATTATTTTCCTTTCTTTAACTTCCCCATTTCGGTTGAAGGCACCCATTTCTATTAAAGGCATCAACATTCTCCCATACTCCAAGTTTATAAATTCATCATTAGCGCTGACTTTTCATTCTCTCTCATGCCACACACCCAATCAAGTGCCAAATCTAACCATTTTTATCTCCACAACACCTCCGTATCTGACCTTTTTTCTTTACTCATACAATCACCATCTTAGTTCAATCCCATAGTACTTTTTACCCAGACTATTGGAAAGGCCTCCTAGGCTTGTCTCCCTGCCTCAAGTGTCTCCCCCCTCTAATCATAATCACAAATTGCCAATATAATTTTTCAATATGATCTGACCATTTCACTCTCTTACTCAATAAACTAGAGTAACTTCTTACTGCCTCTAAGATAAATAACAAAATCCCTTGTTTAGCTTTTAACATCCTTTGCAACTAGTTTTCAACCTATCTTTCAGTCCTCATATACTACTCTTTTCCCCACTTTCTACAACCTAGGCCAACTGTACTTCTACCTGTTCCTCAAACATAGTATTTCAAGTCCCATCTCCATGTTTTTTGCACTTGCCATCTCTTCAGTCTATAAGGCACTCTCTCCAACTCTGGCCTCACAAAAACGTCTGCAATTCTTCAAGAGAGTTCAAACATCACTTTCCTGCCCAGGAATATCATGTATTTAACTAGCCAATACTTATTTTGTACTTACTCTGCATGTACTTATATTACGTATATGCTGTCTCCCCAAAGAAAATATAAGTTCCTTGGGAGCAGCGCATCATTTCACATTTTGTCTTTGGATCCTGAGCGCCTATCACAGTGAGTGGCACAGTGCTGGTGTTCAATAAGTTCTTGCTGATTGACTGACTGATGTACCATTATTTTTAGATAATGCCAAATAAGCTAAATTTAATGGAGAATAAATGTTATTTAGACTATTTTGCAGGTATCTAAATCTTAAGACACACTCCCCTCCAATCAGGCCAAGGCTTTTATTTTATTCATTTCTTGAATTTAAAATATTCTTCAATGACATCTTTGGCCTGAGATTCCTTGCCACTGTCCTTAACAACAATGCAACTGCAGCCAACCACTTTATGGGGCTTTTCCTCTCTGTCAATTTTACAGAGGCCTATCCATTTGCCCAGCTTCTTGTTGTCATCAACCTTAATCAAGTTGATTTGGTGCTCAGCATACAGGGCCTCAACCAACTTTACATACACAGGTTCATCACAGTTGGAAGCAAGAACACAAAGATGGGCTTGGCGTTTGTCCATGGCTTTGGCAGCTTCACAAATTCCACGAGCTAGGCCATCGTGGATGAGTGTGGTCTTCAGCACTTCTTGTAGAGCGGTGTTAACGTCCATTACATCTCCAGCAGCAATGCCTTCCTCGGCCATGGCAGCGGTTCACAGAGGAAGCTAAATTTTGAAAACACCGGGGAGCCTCCTGCTTGACTCAGTGGCAACAGGGAAAGAGCTAACTCTTAGACCTCTTAAACACTACTCTATAATTTATCTTTATCTCCTTGTAAATGCCTTGTCATATTATCTTACAGGCTTATATTCCTAAATGATTAGAGAATTAAAAAAATTATTTAGGCACAAGTGAAATGGTCACTAACCACATGTGGAGGCTTCAAAGCTCGAATAAATTCGCTGGTTTGCTGGTAATCTGTGTGAGCCGAGAAAGAAATATAATCTACAGACATCTTCAGGGGCAGCTTCTGTCCAGACATGGTAGTGATCTCTTCAGGTTCAGACATGATATGCTATTAGACCAAAGACAGAAGATATATATATTCAAAAATTATTTTTTGGAAAACAGAGTATAAGGGGCAGCTAGGTGATGCAGCGGATAGAGCACCAGCCCTGAAATCAGGAGGACCTGAGTTCAAATCCGGTCTCAGACCAAACACTTGACACTTACTAGCTGTGTGACCCTGGGCAAGTCACTTAACCCCAATTGCCTAAAAAAAAAAAATATATATATATATATATATATATATATATATATATATATATATATAGTATAACACTATTTCCCTTTTTTATAAACTTCTGTGCCAGCATGAGGAGTTTCTAGCACAGCATATATTATACTATCATTAACTGAATAAATGCTGAAGAGCTATTTTTCTCAGATAGGCAAGCATTTATCCCTAAGTAATAAACAATTTCTATTCTAGTCCCAAGGCCCTCACTGCTGCTGTCACTGGTGCTAAGGAAATATAAGATTTCAGAAATAAAGGAAGGGATAAAGCATGGAGAGCAACAATATTTTAGGGAAGCTGACAGGTCAGATCTGCTATATAGTGACTTCCCTGACTTAAAATATCTTCCCTTATACTGCCTGAATTCTTTACAAATAGAGTCATTTGTATTAAAGGATTATTTTCAAAATGAAGATGTCAAGGAGATTACTGGCCATTTACACCTTTTAGCTGACATCAATACTTATGGAATAGGAGTTTTAACGCAGTGGGTAAATTAAGTAAATTTTGAAATATGCAATGTTTTGGAAGGTGCAGCAGGCCTGGGTAAGGTCACAGTTGGGAGTAGGGGTATCTTAAGGCAATTTGATGGCATTGGAGACCTAGGGAGAGGAGCATTTGTAGACGAAAGTGGGAAAGATATAGATATCAGAGTGGGATGACACTAAAGACAATCTTTGCCAGTTAATTTTTCCCCCGAGGTAATGCCTATGCCCAGGAAAAGGACAGCAAATTACCTTTCTCCTCTTACACTATCAACCCTTAGTCTCTGGGGCCCAGGACTAAAGCCATTATCATATTTTAGGTACATTACGGAATACAGAAGCTTTTTTTTCGGTTTTTAGTGTGACCTAGGAATTTAACCATCCTTTATGATGTTAGTTCTGAAAGGAAATTATTTCTATCGATCTATCCTGCCCTACAGGAAAATAGAAGGATAAGGGGATAAGGAGGGACAGAGTGACAGAAGGGAGGACAGATTAGAAGAAGGGGTATTCAGAATCCATGCTGTCTTGGGGTGGGGGGAGGGGAGAGATGGGGAGAAAATTTAGAACTCAAAATCTTATGGAAGTGAATGCTGCAAACTAAAAAGAAATTAACTGAAAAAAAGAAATTATTTCTATCTTAAAAAATAACTCAGAACACATTTTATAAATTTAAAATGTTTTTTAACTTCAGGATTTTTGATATAATAGACAGCTGGCAAAGTTAGAAATCCAGGAAAAGTTTTCATTTACATAAACTAAAGGTATTTTGTGGGAGCTGAAAGACAATGCTTCCAGTCATGTTTGGAATGATGAAACACATTTTTCATGAATGTCCCCACAACGCCTGGCTGATCACTGCATAGAGATGAAAATCTACCCACTAGGTAAGTATCTTTACATTGGAAAAGCAACTAAATAAGTTGAGATTGCATAAGTTTTAATTTAATGTAGTGGGAAAGGTTATATGTATATTATAAATACATATTATGATTAAAAACAATGCAAAGCTTAAGCATAACAGACCTTGGCAAGTGTTCCCTCGACGCAGTATCCTGCTATAATTACACCATTTCTTTTATCAGTACACCAACTTTCAAATAATTCTCTGGATAAGCCACTCTGCATCATACCTGGCGAAGCCATCACAACACTTGGGCCAATGTCATCAAAATGATCCATGCTCTGAGAGAAAAGAGATATAAAAGGTATGCTAATCATTAGTGTCTGATAAAGGATGCTCTTTTTTTAAAGTGTATCATACATATCAAATAGCAAGCTGGGTGAAATCAATCACCACTAAAAGATACTTAATTAGCTTAACTGACCAATAAAGTAACAACTAATTTTGAGTTCTTAAGCTTCTGAACAATTCAGAGCAAGAATGATAGAGATGACCCAGTGAACGGTTTTGTTACAATGACCAATAGTTGTTCACAGGTGGAAAGGAAGCCCTGGAAATTATGAGAAGGAAATATAGAAGGAACAAAGAGAATAGGAAAAAAAATAACAGTAATAACTATTGGCTTAGAAAGAACTTCAAAACAGTGATTAGAATTAGATTTCAGAATAATGACTAGGCTGTTAAGAAGAATTTTTCAGAGTCTTCTCTTATAGACATTAAATTTTGAGTAGATGTTATCCCAGAAACAAGTGACTTGTTAATTTGAGGACTACAAAAATGATTCAGAAACAACACTTTTTGTTGTTCCATCTCCTCTCCTCTCCCCACATTGGAAAGAGTTAAACAGTAACATTATAGTGGTAAATTTCTTCCCTGAAAAATCAAACAACTGTGATATCATCCAAATCAGAAATAATTTGAATGCTTTTGAACTGCCTTATTACTAAAAATTTAAGTATGATTCTCATTAAAGTTTTTTTTTTAAGTCAAGAAAAAAACACAATTTATTCCAGGTTCTCAAAGTATGGTGCAGTTGAAAAAATACTGGACTTCCTTTATTTGCCACTCTGCTTGGTTTCTATTACCATTTTTGTCATGTCCCACCCAGGAGGTTGCTTCAGCTCTCCCCCTCAAATCTCAATTGCTTTTGCCTTTCTTTGCCAATTAAAACTGTAACCAAGTAAAAACTTCTCCCATAGCCTCCCTTTACAGAGGATTCAAAATCCGAGTTATCTCTTCATTTGCCACCAGTGGCTCTACTTGGTCTTGACTTTACCATCATATTGTCATTCTTCCACACTCCCTTAATCTCTAGGCTTTTTAGTTTCCTCTTGAGTACTGTCTTTCTCCATCAGATTAGAAGCTTGTTGAGGGCAAGTATTGTCCTTTTAAAAATATTTTGTATTCCCAGGACCTAACATAGTGCCTGGAAAATAGTAGTAAATATCATATACAGTATGATACTTAATAGTAGTAAACTTACCATATGGATTTCAAGTCAGAAGACTTGTATTCAAATCTTGACTTTGCTACTTATCTCTGTTTGATCTTAGGCAAATCAGTAAACCGTTTTGGGCCTAAGTTACCTTATCTATAAGACAAGATTGTACTAGATGACTTTTAAAGTCCCTTCTGGCTATAAATATCATGATCATATCAGTTAAAAATTATGCTGTTAAGACAAATTTTGGCAAGAATTTAATAACAAGTTGAACTACAAAAACCTAAATAGTAACGATAAAAGACAAAGTAAAATGGAAGTGATTTTTATGCCCTATCAATATTTCTTTTTTCAAGATGTACTGACCTTGAGATTACTAATGTGTTTGAAAACAAAAGGATTATTGATATTGATTTGTTTGCGGATTTTGTCATTCATGGCATTCACATAGGTCTGGTACACTGCCATACACTTCTTAGCCAAAGATGATGCATAGTATATTGGAATGTCATGGAGTTCTGGATGATTCTGCCAATACTCATCTAGAAAGAAATTTTACAAGGTAAAAATTCCACTCTACTAAAATGAAGATATCAAAATTTAAAGTCAAGGTTTCATTTGAAGGTAAGCTTAGATTTTTATACTTATAAGATATTTTAAATGCTCAAAACACTATGCATAAAGCAAAACAACACTACACAATTTAAAATAGCTTAGGAAACTTTAACCTAGTACTTCTAACCTCCAATTTAGTCTTAAAACAAACCACTTACAGCTCAAAGTAATTATTTAAACATAGCACAAAAATACACAGGATAAAGATTATTCCACATGTCTTTAGAAGGAATAATAAACACTGGCCAGCAAGTGGCTTAAATTTTGAACATATTTAAAATAAAAAATGCATTATTAAGTGATTCTAATTAGTGGCTGTGGGATCCTGGGCAACTCACTTGACATGTCAGCATCCTAGCCAGTGTCCAAGGATTCCTGCACTGGTAGAGGTAGTACTCCCAATCTAGGGGTACACTATACTTACTGTTAAACTTAATTTTCTTTAAAAACTGGTAACTAGGCAAAATGATAACCATTTGATAATTACTAAAAGTGTCATGAAAAATAGGAAAGGCTAGGGGAAAAAATACTTTTATAAAAATTAAAATCTTTTCCTCATTTCTCATCTGGCTACATTCCTTTGAGACTTCTCTGACTTTTCCACCATGCCTTTGTGTTGGATACGTTCTCCCATCCCCCTCAACCCTTTTACCCATCAGTTATCTTCCCCCATTAGATTGTAAACTTCTGGAGGACAGGGACTGTCTTTTTTTGTAAATGTGTCCTTAGTGCTTGGCCCAGAGTAGGTACTTAATAAATGTTTACTGACTGACTGATTAGGAACTATATGAAATAGCTGGAGGGGCAAAAGACCTGGGAGTTAAGTGACCTCTTATTTATGATCAGCTACAACATTTACTAGCAAGCCGCTCTAGGATGACTTTCCAGACTTAATTTACTTATCTGTAAAATGTGGGCAATAATATAGATTTACCAAAAAATCTTAGCTCAGTTTTAAGCTATTAAAACTTAAACCAGTAGTAAGACTTTTGGGCAACTCTGTATTTAAACAACCTACTCTTAAGGTAACGAGAAAAAACATTTTGGAACTGTGCTTTAATAATTTAAGATCATGAGGAGAAAAGATCTGAACCTGTGATTTCATCAGTGCAGGGAACTCCCAGCATGGAAGCTCCTTCCCACCTAAATATCAACTTTTGGCAATTTCTTTGCAGCTTACGGTGTTATGGGGCTGCCTGGAGGCACTGAGAGATGGAGGAACCCGACCATGATCACAAAACTATTATAAGCCAGGGGCAGAATCTGAACCCAGATTTCTGACTTGAAAGCCAGCCACTAATGCTACATCACTAACTCAATTATAGCAGTACTTTTCTGCCAAATTGAACAGTTTATGTGATGATTTTTAATTCTGTAATTCTGAATATAAAAGCACATAAAATCAAAATCAAGAAAAATAAACCTTCCAAAACCTGGCAGATATGGGCATTCTTTTACACACTGAATTTAATTTGTTGCATAATTAGGCACTCAGAGGGGCAACTATGTATAGCACTAAATACCTCAGATAGTTTAAGACTGTTTCTATGTCTTGTTCACAACTGCACAGAAAAGTCAACAAATTTGACTCTGATAATGCTTTTGAAAAAACTTCGTGCCATCTTACACAAAGATGCAAAAATACCTAATTAAAAGTAAATGTAAAAAGTAAATTTTCAACCATGCATTGATTGAATTTTCATTTTTTTCCCCTTGTTATACATTCAGCCACTCATTAGTTTTTCTACTTGAGGACAGAAGACAAAAAAGAAAAAAACGAAAAATAATAAAAATTATTACTTACCCAAAATTTTTATATAGTTTGAAAAGAGGAAGAGATTGAAATTAATGCTGACACTTTATATTATATGTTGGTCACATCAATGATAACATTATGGGTAACCGAGAAAGGTTTTCAATTTTTCAAATGTACAGGAAGGAAGCAGAAAGCTATTTCTTATCTCTTATTTGAAATACCGGTGACTACTACTTTTTAGGCTTCTATAATACATAATCATAAAACTTGGAATTTAAAAAATTCAAAGGCAAATGAAAACTCCATTATGCTGAAAGTAATGATAGACAACAAACTCAAAGTAAGAATAAACTTACATGCTCCAAAAGCCTTAGCTTTATTTAAATTCATGAAGGAAACATCTAAGCTACAAGAAGATATGAAGAATAACAAGACAATGACAGGAGACTTCAATATCCCCTTCAGTTTTGTGTGAATGTAACAGAAAGAGAAACAAATGGGATAAAATGAACAAAACGCCACAGAAACTTGAGTTAAGACAGATGGCACCTTCTAACTGGGACAGCAAAAGGATCTCTCTCTCTCTCTCTCTCTCTCTCTCTCTCTCTCTCTCTCTCTCTCTCACACACACACACACACACACACACAAAATAGTGTATGATGAATACAAAGAATGGAAAGTCAATTATGAACTGATGCAGTGTGAAATAAGCAGAACCAAGAAAATATACAGTAACTACAACAAAAACATAAAGAATACAGGCCTCGCCAAATTAAAAGCAAATGTAACAAAATTATAAAGATCAAACAGGACTCAAATGAAGAGATATGAGAAGATATTTTCCAACTACTCTTTTGTGGAGGTGGGAAGTTCACAGATGTTACCCACTGTACATGTTCTTTGACTTTTTCAATATATCATTAGTTTGTGCTGGGTTTTTTTTAATCTTCTCTAAAAAATACTTTTGTCATTTGGAATGGTTCTTTGGGAGATGAAAAAAGAGGGGAAAAGGTATTTGGGATAATTATGGTAAGGAATAGAAAATATCAATAAAACCTTTTTTAAAAAAAGGTATCAGCAGCAACAAAAATGAACTGTTTAATACAACATATCTTTACTTGTCAAACTATCATTGAGAGTATAGTGCTAAAAAAAAAAAGGAACAGGGTGTATTTCAATGTAATTAGAAAGATAAATGTCCAGAAGCAAAGAATATCGGTGTCAGGAAGTTGGAGAGAAAAAGACCTTCCAACAAAAGGAAAAGAAAAAGGGCTACATTCTCCAAGGAATGAAGACAAGTACTATAAGGTGAGAGGTCATCCAGCAAGTTTCAAGGAAGGAGAGACAAATATTGATGACTGGTGACTCACTGTTGAAAAGTACTGAGGCTACTGTGTCTACTGGACATTAACAATAAAAAGATCTTCTGTCTTCCTAGAGAATGGTGGAGAACACAAGAACTGTCAAACCTGACAACTACTATACAATTTGGGTGACTCAAGTAAGCAAAAATTAACACAACCAGAAAGAATCTGAAAAGTACCGCTAAATATTATAAAGTCTGGGATAAGAAAATGAAAACCTTTTTGAGAGGTACAATAGATATTTCCATCAACATTACTAATAAAGGGCAGGTGCTTCAGAAGAGAAATACATATATAAGAATTTAAGACCAGCTAGGTAAGATATATCTGAGAATGTATCTGAGATTTCTGAATGAGTGCTTCAAATATAGGAATAATTTGTTTTTTGTCAGGAATAGAATGCAGTTAACAATGATTAATAAAAATTAATTTGGTCTTGTAAGTCTAATTTTTAAAAGGCTGTAAATTGAAAAAGGAAGGGAATGGGAAAAAAAAAAGACCATGCATACTTCCAATGCTAGATATCCTGATGCAGTTACAATGTAGGAAGAACAGTAATAGAGTTGGGCAGAAAGTGATAAGAGACTAAATCCAAGAGCCTGCAATAAAACCCATGGTCTCCCATATTTATACAGAAATGAACAAAGTATCAGTAACAAAAAAAGTGAAACAGAAAGCTTAACTCAAAAAGAAAATTTGAGAGTATAAGTACCATTGGAACAAATGACTGAAATATGCCTGAGGAAGTATCTAACCTATTCAAAAGAAGAAGGTGGGCGGTGGGAGGCAGTGGGGAAAGCATTATAAATTATGAAGAGAAATCCACATATGGAGACACAGTAACCCTGAGGTGAAAAATATCGAGACCATTTTGGTTAAGACAATGCTGTCACAAATAAAAGTAATACTGACATCAAAATGTACGTTATACCACCAGCAACAAATTAAAACAGAAATAGAGGCCACTAATCTGTACATAAGGATCCCTGAAGGTCACATATTGACTTAATTTTAAAATGTAATGTTTGTCTTATTTTTATTTCTTTTGTTAAATACTTCCTAGTTACAGTTTAAGTGTGATTATAGCCACACTTGGGATTACAGCAGGTATGCAGGCTGCATGTTTGACTTCCTTTGCCTTAGACAATCTGGACAGAAAGAGGGAACAGATGAAGAGTTGAGAAATATTACAAGTGTGGCACAGAAGCAGGATATAGCAGTGATAGGGAATTTCAATAATCTGGACATTCTAATAAAGATGTACCGCTATGAATTTCTTGACATGCCTTAAAGATAATTTTTTCTTTAAAGAATAATACTAATGAGAGAAACTACCATTCTGGACCTCATCACCAAATAATTAGTTACTAAAACAGGGATGATGGAAACCGGGGGTGGGGGGGTGGCGCAGGTGTGTGTGTGTGTGTGTGTGTGTGAAAGTTCAGGAAGAATGGGAAACCCCAAAGAATGAGATTCTGAAGACCTGCACTGAAAACTCCCCAACTACCTTAGATTTTTGAGACATACATACAGGTATGTATTATGAAGAAATGAAATTAAGGTATTAAATTAAGAGGAAGCACAAAAGTACAGCATGGAAATGGAAGAATAATAGCAGGAATTTCAAAACTCAGAATAACCCAAAGCTGGTAAAATATGCCAAGAATAACAAAAAGCATCTTTATAAAAAGCTGTATTAGGAAAAAGGAGCAGGACTTCTGCTTAGGGTAGTTGGGATGACGAAAACTGCTGACAGAGAGAAAGCAGAAGTACAAACCTATTTATCTGGCTTCTACTTTTTTTCTACAGGACAATAATATTTACACTGGAAAGAATCGCTCAAAAATGGCTACTAGGAAGTTGATACCTAAGATAACTAGAGAAATAGTAATATAGCACTTAACTGCCCTTTATTAGTTCAATTCACCAGTAAATCAAAAAACATTTATTAAGCACCCACTAGGTACTAGGCTCTGTGCTAAGCACTGGGCATATAAAGGCAAAAGTGAAACAGGGCCTGCCTTCAGTGACCTAGAAGGAAAACAAAGCACGTGTAGTATATACAGTATACACAATACTTAAGATAATTTTGGGGTGAAAACACTAGGAGCTTGGGAAGGGGGGAGGAATCAAGAAAGGATTCATGCAGAAGGGGGCACTTGAGATGAACCTTACAGGCGGCTAGAGACTCTAAGAGGAAGAGGTGAAGTTGGGCTCAGAATATTGCTGGGAAATGAATGAACAGGCAAACATGACTGTTAAAGTATCATCAGTGACTTCTGAAAGATTATGGAAAATAGGAAAGGTACCACATGAGTTGAGAAGGACAAATATTGCCCTTTATTTCAAAAAAGGGCAAAGAATGGAGTCATCAAACCATGGGCCAGTGAGTTTGACCTTGATCCTGGGAAAGTTATAGAAGGTATTAGTATAAAAGGAAATGGCAATTACCAAAATGGTGTAATTAAGAGTAGGTTCTTTCCTTTTTTTGGATTGGTTAATAGACTGGCAGATAAGGAAAAACTAGCTAGCTAGAATTTACTTCAATTCCAAAAAAGCATTTCACAAAGTCATGTTATGCTTATAAAAAAGAAGGGAAAATGTCTGATAGATGAATCTACATTTGGATAGATTTGAGAATGGCTGAATGGCCAGAGTCAAAGATTAATCATTAATGACACAACATCAATTCTGAAGGAGGTAGCCGATGGAGTATTTCAGGTATTTGTGTTTGGCCTGACATGGATAAAGGCATACGGTAATCTTATTAAATGTGAAGGTGACACAAAGACGGGAAGGACAGCTAAACACACTAGGTGACAGCCAAGATATAAAAAGACACTGACAGGCTATAATATTGGCCTGAATCTGAAGAGATGGTGGAAATATCATTCATTCTAGAGTTGCAAGACCTGTCACTTGTTACCTGGGTGACAGGTATAAATTTATATACTGTGTTAGCCTAGTACCTTAGGCTCTTGGGGTCTCAGTTTCCTCATCAATAAAATGAAAAGGTTGGACCAGATGACCTTTGCTCTCTCTTCTAGATCTAAACTTATAATCCAAATGCTATCCACATCCAGAGAACGAACTATGGAGTCTGACTGAATATGGAAGCAAATTATTTGCTCTCTTTTTCTTTTGTTTTGTTTTATTGCTTTATTCCTGGGGTTCCCCCCATCAGTTCTAATTCTTCTTTACATCATGATTAATGGGAAATATGCTTAATATGAATGTATAAGTAGAGCCTATATCAGATTGCATGCAGTCTTGGGGAAGGGTGAGGAAAGGGAGGAGGAGAAAATTTAAAACTAAAAATTTTATGGAAATGAATGCTAAAAAAGAAAAATAAATAAATAATTTTTAAAAAAAAAAGTTTGTAGAAATTCTGAATAAAGCTTTGGTAAACTACTAAAAAAACCAACAGCTTACAATCCATTATCTAAAGTCCTAAATTTGGGCTCAAAAATTGATTCTGCAAGTGAAAAATGGGAAACATGAGGTCAGACAACACAAGTCATTCTGCAGAAGATCTGAAGGTTTTGGTAGAATGTAGATTTGAATCAGAATTAGAATTTGGCTAATAATGGAGCTAAAGAGGCCAATATGATTTTAGACTGCATTAAAAGAGGCATGGTGGTTAGGATTGGAAAGGTAAAAATCCTGTTGCAACCTAGGAAGAGGCAGAAAGACAGGTGGCTTGAGAAGAAAAATATGGTTTGAAGAACCATTGCGAGGAGAAGTGATCAGAGAAAAACAAAAAGGAATGACTATCAGCAGTGAGAGCTAAAATGGTATTAGATAACAAATTTGTAGTGGCCCCATGAGCATGGTTTTGTGACTTTGTCCAGCATATAGCAACACTCAAACAAGAGCAGACAAGGCAGAATGTGAAAGTAATGCAAAACAGAAGTCTAGAAAGGGGTGAATGGCAACAGAGAAAGGGGAATTGGGGGTGGGAGGGAAGAATTAAAGAGTTGGGGATAAAACAGCAATGAGATTAGTATCAGGAAATCTGACTTCAAGTTGTATTTCAGTTGCTTATTTAACTTGGTAAATCACTTAATCTCCTTGGTTCTCAATTTCTTGATTGGTTAAAATGAGGATAATGATATCAGTCATAATGAGGTAATACAGTTAATGCACTTTGTAAATTTAAAGTAGCATAATGGCTACAAGGTATTGCTGCCTTAGAGAATAAACTGAGGATGCTGTACAAATACAATGTATCCTCAATATATTTATTCCAGGATGCTTTCTGTAAATATCTTTTAAAGTTTACTGTTATGTCAGAGGGGGCAAACATACCTAAAATCAGAAGAAGTTCTTGAGCTCGTCCCAGAGCAAAGACAGGAATGAGACCTCTGCCACCTCTATTCACAATGTCATGAACAGTGTTACAGAATCTTGCCTCTCGCTCTTCTCGTTTTTCATGAATGTGAGTCCCATACGTAGATTCCTAACATAGTTCATAAACAGGTATCAGAATAATAAGACATATATCCAACCTCAACTGGCTTAAAAAATAGGAATGACACTTTAATTATCCATCCCTCCACCATGATATGTTTGTACACATTTAAGACTAGCAATAAGTGAGGTTAATAATAATGACAGCTAGCATTTATATAATGCTTTTAAGTTTGCAAAGTGCGGTACTATATGTTATCTCATTTGATCCGCACAACAACCCTGGAATGCAAGTGCTCTTACTATCCTCACTTTACACATGAAGAAATTGAAGCAGACAGTGGTCAAAGTGACTGCCAGGCTCACACAGTAAGTGTCTAAGGCTGGATTTGAACTCAGACTTAAGAGTGTGATTGGAGACTCCAAATTAGACCCACTGTGCCACATAGCTGACAAGAAATGAACAAAATAATTCAGATTTTCAGAAATTTTTCCTGAAATTGAGGTCATTTGCCTTAATAATGGGGCGCAGTAGAATTGTCTTTACTAATTTCAGTGCTTGATGTTTATCAGTACAACCATCAACAAGCAAATGAAAATTGAAAAGATTCTCACTGCTCCTAGAACAATGGGGTAGAGAGTTGAAGCTACTCAAAGCCAGGTAAGGATATGAAAGACCACCAAGAGCTAGTGCTTGAAAAGGTTTTGAAACACATAATCAGTCTATTATTGAATCTCCCTAAGCTGACATTTTATCATAATCAACAACCATATGGTTCAAAAGGATCTGTGATTTCACAAGGTATTCCCTCTTACCATGTGAATCACAATTGTTGCCAACTAAGCATTAGATTCTTAAAACTTAGTTATCCCAGTTTTGAAATGACAAACAATAGATTAATGGGTGATACTAAAAGATTTTCCAGTTTGACAGGACCTGCCACAGCTTACATTTCATTTGCCCTGCCTTCAAGAATCCATGGTAACCTCCACGACATAATGAAGTGCTAGAGTAGGAGGACAGAACTTTACAGACATGAAAGTTGGATTGTTATGGTAAGCCTAAATCAATACCTGACATTTTTGGGTCAAAAGTTCAGGTTAACCCATAAAAGCTGAGTATTTTCCTCACATGTAGGGAAAAAACATTTCTTCACTTTTTAAAAAAATATACAATTCAATTTTTACGTAATTCATATCACCAAAATTCTTTGTCATAGTGGATGTCTCTTTGTAAGGGCCAATAAGGGTGTAAAGGGAAATCTAAGGGATGTAAAAACAAAAGATAATAAAAAAATCTGTTAAAATCAAGAAACCACTAATACTTACAATAATAAGAATATCTGGTTTAATATTAGGAATTTCAGCTGCCATTAAGTGCCTATCTTCTTGTCTTGAGAAATCACCTGTATATAAAAGCTATGAGAGACAAAAAACTTAGTTGGGAAAGGAATTAGGATTTTGGAAAGACATTTTATAATTAAGCCAGTAAAATCCAGGAATGACTGTGTATGTGTGTATTCATAAGCAAAAAAAAAAAATCAAGTTAAAAGCTGCAGTTAGGTTTTAAATAAGCTAGATTTGATGGGAAAAAAATATGGCCTATATTAAAATCAATAAGCTACCTTGCAACTAGACTTTTCAAAATTTAATCCTAATTTTTTTTCTATTCAATCCTATTAGAGATTGATGCAAATAGAATAAACATCCTTGCTAGCCTATCTTCTCTCCTTTTTTCTTCCCTCTGGGAGCACAGTGTGGTGACATGGCTGTCAAATTATCTCAATGTAAAATGAATATAATACCAGAGGTTGTCCCCTATCAAATTACCTAGGAAATTTTCTATACAGCATAGGCAAGTGGATGAAGACCATGCTTATTCAGCTTATTTTTTAATTTCTGAAATTTTATTTTATTGTTTTGAACTACAAATATTCATTACAAGAACTGATGTACCTAGCTGGATCAAAGCAGTAAACTCCATTAAAGAAATGTTCAAAGTAAATAAAAACAGGACGATCAACACTGTTATATGTATATATACCCAAGCATAATGGAAATGTGAAGCATCACGGTATTTCCACTTACTATACCTGATGGCAAAATGGAAGATCCGCAACTAAAGTCTGATTCTACCTATTACAGAAAAGTTTTAAGTGTTTAAACACTTGGCATGTTTTAAGAAATTTGCAATATTACATTACAAGTTTATGATGTAGGCAGTTAAAAAAACCAAAAAACTTCTCACTTTAGAGACAGGATTTAAACATATATGTTCCAACTCTTATTTCTTTCCATTAATACTATAACTTATCTACATAAGAAGATACATAGTACCTTTACACCAGCGATCTCAATCATAAACATGGCTGCTCCCAGAACATGGCCCGCATGATAACACCAAAATTTGATTCCTGCAACTTCCTTAACTTCATGAAAGTTGATAGTTTCAATTTTGTCCATACTCTCTTCTAAATCTGTCTCAGTATATAGCATGTCATCCGCTGATATGTTACTAAAATTTAAAAAACCAGAACATGAACAAGATTAAAATATTTCTTCTGATTTATTTTAAAGAAATCCTAGAAAACTGTTCTCTGATGACATACCTAAAACTATTCCATTTATTTATAGAGACTATAAGGAAGCCACGTGGGAGGTGATGCTGGCCTCTGCAAAAATAACATCATGGAAAGCAAGATAGACTTTCCCAGGCTTAAAAGGTTTCAAATGACAACAGAATTTAAGCACCTGGAGTTCAAAGTCTTTTTTTTCCCCCATGGTGACATCTCTTTATTTTCCAGTTTTAAAAGGAATACAAAGGATTACACATTGTGAACAATTAGAGACTTAAAGGATCATTTAGTAGATGCCTCTCATTTTAGAGAGAAGAAAACTGAGGCTAAGGAAAGGGGAGTGACTAAGTGAGGGTCACAAGGTCAGTACGGCAAAGGTAGCCAGCATTGGACCAGACCTCTCAGGGGCCAATCGAGAATTATAGTTAAGTCTTCTCTTGGCCTTTAGGTGGGGCCTGGCTGAGCATCTAGGAGGGTAGGAGATCTTTGGTTTGGGGGCTGTCCGATCATCTAACTGGGAGTGAACATAGGTCCCTGGCCCCAAGATCTGTCTGGGCCCTGAGTCAGGCAGGAGCTGACCACTACAGCAACCAGAACTCTCTTCAGTTTCTGTATTGAGTCCTGTCTCCAAAGGCTGTAAGCATTGCATGCTGTGAAGCTGGGCTGGCCCAGCGGGCCTTGTTCCAGAAAGATGCTCCCAACTGCAAGTGAGAGTCCGATTTCTTCTTCTCAGAACTTTGTATTATCTGGGCATAATCTATATCCTTCTGAGCTGGGAAGTGCCACCTGGAGCTTCTTGGGGAAATCTGGGCCTTTTCCTGCTTGAGTAGATCAAGGGGCATTCCGCCTGGAAGATCCAAGGAGGATAGAAGGCTACATCATTTTACCAGCTTGGGGTAGATAGGGTCAAGCTCTGTCTGCATATTATTTTCACAGATTGTAATCAGATCCTTTACTTCCATTTTGGCTGCTGGCAGGGTGGCAGCTCCTCTGTGGTTGGTGGTGGTAGTGTTGGCAGAGGATGTCGGGCCCCTTCTCCATGAGGGCTGTTCCCTTCAATGACAGTAGCAAGGGCTGCCTGCTGGTTCAGGATCAAGATGTGTTCATGTCATATTATACATGAAAGTAACCTAGGTTAGGATTCCATTCTTCACTACCACATCCCTTGGGGAGGGCAGGAGTTGTTTCTTTGTTTGTTTTTCAATCTTTGATCTCTTTCACCCCCAAGGCCCCACCCAGTCAAGACTATTTAAGCAGTAGGGGCTTAATCAATCTTTGCTAAAGCAGTGAACATGTGGAATGGGCTGCCAATGCTCCCCTAACTGGGACTCTCTAAGCTAATGCTAGAGGGCCTTTGCATGCTTGTTCGACTACTGGATGGGCTGGATGGCCTTTGCTGTCCTTTCTAGCCCTGAAGGCTTGGAACCCTAAGAATGAATGAAGGAAGGAAGGAAGGTGCTGGCAGTGATTGACAGAAGCGCCCAAGAACTTCACAGGGTTCTTCAACAGGTGGTGAGAGAGAGTGAGAAAGGGGTTGAGGAAGGGAGGGGGGGGTGATGAGGGAGAGAGGGAGAAATGGAGAAAGGAGGAGAGGGAAAGAAGGGGAGAGGGAGGGAGGGAGACAGGAAGAGAAAGAGATGAGGGGGAAGGGGGATAGGGAAAGGGGAGATGGGGGAGGGAGAGATGGGGGGAGAGAGAGAGAGAGAGAGAGAGAGAGAGAGAGAGAGAGAGAGAGAGAGAGAGAGAGAGAGAATGGGGAAAAAGAGGAAGGGGGGAGAGAAAGAGAAAGAGGGAAGGGAAGTGAGGAAGGGGGAGGGGGGAGAGAGAGGAGGGGGAAGGGGGTGAGAAAAGGTGAGAGGGAAAGGGGGAAAGAGAGAGAGAGAGAGAGAGGGAGGGAGGAGGGGAGGGGGAAGGGGTAGAGGAAAAGGAGAGAGAGAGCACAAGAGAAGGATAGAGAACAAGAGGGCAGAGTCTGTCACTCTTGTCTTTTTATCCCTAGCATTTAATACAGCAACTTATCTTATACAGAGGAGGTGTTTACTGTCTGCTGAAGTAAACTGAGAAAGAGGCTGGGAAAAGACTACCATTAAAGAACCAGCTTACCAAAATTTGGATAGGATTATTACTAGGAGGTTGGGCAAAAGATGATAAAATGTTTTTGGCCCAAACTATTCATGAAACAATTTCCTACGGTATGGAACAGTTGAAATCTGATGGAGGGAGGCTCCATATGGATGAAATAATGGTTCTCTGAAGACTAGTGAGTACTCTGAATAACAGGCAGTTTGTGGTACAAAGGAAAAAGCACTGGCTCCAGAGTCAGAGAACTTGGGTTCAAATCTTCCCTTGGAAGCTTTCTACTTGCACAGTCCTAGACAAGTCACGCTTATCTCCCAGGGCTCCAGTTTTCTCATCCATAAAATGTATGGGTTGAAGGCCCTGAGGTTCCTTCTACCTCTAGATCCAGGATCCTAGGAAAATGGCTTAAGAGTTACTGGCTGATCAGGGGAATAGATTAGGTATACAACACACAGAAGCGAATAAGCACAGTAGTTCACTGTTTGATAAACCCAAGGATCCCAGTTACTGGGGCAAGAACTCCTTATCTGACAAAAAACTGCTAGGAAAACTGAAAGCAGAAAGTAGGCAGTAACCAACGTCTCACATCAGGTACCAAGAAGAATTCAAAATGGGTACATGAGTTATACATAAAGGGCAATATCATAAGCTAATTAAAGGAACATGGAAGTAATTACCTGTCAGATCTCTGAGAAGGGGAAGAGTTTATACCTGAATAGGATAGAGAGGTTCACAGAGTAAAATGGATAATTTTAATTTCATAAAATTTTGAAGTTTTTGTATAAAAAAGTTCCAGTGCAGCCAAAATTAGAAGAAAAGCAGGAAACTTGGTAAAAAATATTTACAGCAAGTTTCTCCAATAAAAGTCTCATTTCTAAAATATATAGAGAACTGAGCCAAATACATAAAAATAGGAGCCATTGAACAATTTGATAATGATCAAATAATATGAACAGGTAGTTTTCAAAGGAAGAAGTCAAAGCTATTGATAGTCACACGAAAAAAATGCTCTAAATTACTAATAATTGGAGAAATGCAAATCAAAACAACCCTTAAATACTACCTCACATCAATCAGATTGGCTAAAAAAATCAGAAAAGGAAAATAACAAATGCTGAAGAGGATGTGGGAAATTAGGTTCACTAACACACTGCTGGTAGAGTTGTGAACTGGCCCAAATATTCTGCAAAACGGTCTGGAATTATGCCCAAAGGACTATAAAATCGTGTATACCCTTTGACCCAGCAATACCACTAAGTCTACACCCCAAAAAGATCAAAGAAAAGGAAAAAGGACCTATATGTACAAAAATATTTAGAGCAGCTTTTTTTGTGGTGGCAAAAATGGGAAACTGTAATTTGCAGAATGGCTGAACAAGCTAAAGTATATGAATGGGACGGAACACTATTCTGCTATAAGAAATAATGAAGGTTTCAGAAAAATCTAGGGAAATTTATATGAACCGATACAATGTAAAGTGAGCAGAAGCAGAGAACAATCTACATAATAACAACAATACTGTAACAATAATCAATTGTGAAAGACTTAATAACTCTGTAATGATCCACCATAACTCCAAAGGATTCATAATATAAAATTCCATCTACCTCCAGATATAGAATTGATGGATTCAGGATATAGATTTTCCCCCCCTTCTTTATTTTTCTTGTTTTTTTGTTTCAAAACATGGCTGACATGGAAATGTTTTTCATGACTTCATATGTATAATGAGTATCAGATTATTACCTTCTCAATGGATGGGAGAGAGAATTTGGAACTGAAAACAAAAATTTTTTAAAAAGAAAAAAGAAAATAATTTATAGCTATATAATACTCTGAGGTCACAAAGTTCTATTGAATATACTATCTCGTTTGATTTTTTGAGTCCCGGTGAAGGCATTGTATTATTCAAATCAGATTACAACGCAAGATTCTTCTAAGGATCAACTGAAATCCTATATCAAAAATATTCTGTAACCATAAAGTAAGCTATTATTACTTAAGGGGCAGCTGGCTGGCACAGTCGTTAGAGTAGCTTATCTGGAGGGAGGAAGACTCACCTCCCCAAGTTCAAATCTGGCCTCAGACACTTACTAGCTGTGACCTGGGCAAATCGCTTCACTGTTTGCCTCAGTTTCCTCATCTGTAAATGAGCTGGAGAAGAAAACTGCAAACCACTTCGCCAAGAAAACCCCAAATGGGGTCACAAAGAGTTGGACATGACTAAAATGACTCAACAACAAACTGTTATTCAACTATTATTAGTAATTATTATTAGTGAAGCAAGTTCATTTTCCAATGTTCAAAACTGATAGGAATGATAGCACACTGACTGCCAAGACATGAACTCAGGACTTCTGATGTCAAATCAAGTGGTTTTCCAAACATAACACGGAATTTCCTTAACATTCTGGATATAACTCTTACTAGGATTTTATAATAATGTTTTGTTACTTTAAAATTTAAATTATATAACTGCATGAAATATGTTGCATGGATTAGCAAATTATTTTTTTTAAGTACAGCTGGGGATAAGCAAAATAGCTACATGAATAGATGTGGCTGAAGAATAAACACAGTGAGTGAATAGGAACAAATGCCAAAGAACTTGTTTTGTAATTTTTAAAACTCTTAAGAACTGCAAAATGTACTTTGCCTGAAAATTATGCAAACATATGTTTCAGCATAACCCAGACGTTTATATAAAGTAGTATACGTGGGGGAAAGATAATTATCTAAAACAAATAAACAATACAAGGTCAACATTTCAAAGAACATATCCTTTCAGAATGTACCATTTCTGATAATTATGTGAACACACTTTTAAGAATAACACAGTATATCTTGTGGGGGAAAGATGTTTTCCTAAAATAAAACCAAAAAATTAAACATTAGAATACAATTATCCATTTGTGTATGTTTTGGTTCAGACCTGTGATTTCACTGGTGGAGGGAACTATCTTCCGTCAAGGTGCATCAGCAACTTATTTGCACCTTATCGTCTTAGAGGGCTACCTGGGATAATGAACGGTTAAGTGACTTGTTAAAGTTTGACAGAGGTTAGACCTGAACTCAGATCTCCCAGACATAATGGCCAGCCATCTATCCACTACACCATGCTGGTTTTTTATGGATACACTCATATTAACACAAATTATAAGTCATGTCCACCCTGGAGTTAGACATAAAAATTCTAATCTTTTAACATATAACTCAGGCTACAAGTAACATTAAAAACTATTCGTAATCTTTCTAGTAAAGAGAGTGAATTTTTTTCCGACAAATCATGCGGACTTCAATTATAATTAACAACAACTGCTGACATTTATATCACACTTGAATATTTGTAAAAAGGGGGCAGCTAGATAGTGCAGTGGATAGAGCCTGGATTCAGGAGGACCTGAGTTCAAATTTGACCTCAGACATATAACACAATCTGTGTGACCCTGACCAAGTCACTTAACCCCACCATTGCCTAGCCAAAAGAAAAAAGGGAAGAAAATTTATAAAAAGCTCTTTACATGTGTACCTCATGTGAGCCACACAACAACTCTGTGAGGGAAGATAGTATAAGTATTTTTACTCCCATTTTGCAAATGAGGAACTGAAGTTCAGAGAAGTTTCTGACTTGTTAGGGTTACACAGGTCATGTCAGAAGTCACATCTGAACCCAGATCTTTGATTCCAAGCTCAATATTTTCCCCACTATGTAATAACTGTCTTAGAAGTATGATAATGACATAAATATTTGATTCCTTCCTCACCTTGGAAGGAACAATGTTTCAGTAAACACTGACCTATTACTGTGATTATAACCTACACCGTGATATTGTACAAAGCCATATTTAGAGGGCTAAACATGGCCAGTATGGGAATCAATACTGTGAACATAAGAGGAAAACTCGAGAAACCTCTGTCACTGAGAAAAGTCATTTATATACAGTTTTGTAGCAACTCACCTAACTTTGACATAATCTGAAAGAAGCCATCTGTAAATAGCTTTTGTAGCATGAGTCATAAATGTTCTTCCTTTGAAACTTGTCTTCTGCAGAAACCAAGGTAAGGCTCCACAGTGATCTAAATGGAAACTTAAGATAAAAGGAATGTAGTTGATATGACTGCAGTATTACTTAGCATAGTTAATTTAAAATACCACACATAAGACAAAACAAAAAGTTTCCATAACAAGATCCAAACATCTGGCAATTTGGCATAAGAAACAGTCATTATTTATCTACTGCAGTGGTTCTCCAGCTTCTTTTTTTTGTGGTGCAGCATTCTTTGCCATGAAGAATCATGAACACAAAAATTTTAAGCTGGAAACAATACAGAAAGTCAGGCGATGTTTGCATGCTCAGATTCTCTTTAATAAGATCAACCTTTTTTTGTCGAATTCTTTGTTACTTCAAAGTCTAATACATTTTGAAGTTAGTGCATTTTTATAATAGGCAAATTTTGTTTACTGAATGAATATTATACTTATTATGCTATACTTTTCTGGGTTTCTAAAATCCATATTGAGCAAAATTATTTATAATTTTTCTTTTATGTGAAATAACATAAAAACAAAAATTTCATAGGGTACCTAGTGAAACCTGTGGCACACCCTTTCAAAACCACTAATCTATGGCTATTGTTGAGAAAAGAAGTAGTATGGGCAAAGGGAAGAAAAAAAAATGCACCCAAGTTTGGCACACAGTAGGAATTTTTAACACTTCTGAATGGCAATAACTAGAGAAAGAAGAGGTTTATTATAGCTAGAGTTAAAACAAATATTAAATAATTCGGTTATCTCATCAGTTCCAATAGGTTCAATTATTATCTCTACAGAGATGATTCCCAAATTTATTTGTCCAGCCTTTATCTCTCCTGAGCTCTAACCTTGTACCAACAACTGCCAACTGGACATTCAAGCTAATGTCTCATAGATATCATAAACTCAACATGTCTAAGACAGAATTCATGATCTCAAACCCCACCAATTCTCCACATTTTTTGCTAAGGATACCACTATCCTTTTTGTCTTCCAAGCTTGCAATCTCAGTGACATCTGATTTCTCACACTCTTTCATCTGACATATTCCATCAGCTGCCAAATCTCTCTCCATAACAACTTGCAGATGCACCCCTTTTCCTGGTTCACACAGCTACCATCCTACTTCAGGTGCTTATCATCCCTCAACTGATTCTTACTTGGTCTCTCTGCCTCAAGTCTCTTCCCATGTTGACCCGTTTTTCACATAGCCAAATTCACTCAATGAATTTTTTAAAGTCCAGGTTTGATCATGTCACCCCCCTACTTATTCTCCGGTAGCTCTCTTTTACTTTCAAAAACAAACATAAACTCTTATTTAGCATTTAAGGCTCTTCACAACCTAGTCTTCCTCATTTTCCAGGTTTCTCACACAATTACTCCCCTTCATGCACTATGGTTCTACCTATACTCGCCTAGTTGCTGTTCCTCACATGATACTCCAATCTTACAATTTCTCAGTGCCAATTACTCTCCTACAAGCCTGCAATGCTATTCCTCCTCCCTCAACCTCTTGGCATTCCTGATTTTCCTCAAAACTTAGCTTAAACACACCCTTCTGCAGGAGGCCTTTTCCTGGTCAACTAAGCTACTACTGCTGTCCCCTTAGAAGCTACCTTGTACCTCTTTTGTGTATACAAATTTATATGTATGTTGTTTCACTTGGTTAAACATAAGGGACTCAGGGACTATTTCACTTTTATCTTGTACTGCCAGTGTTTAGCACACAGTAGGCACTTAATAATTGCTGGATTGATATAGAAAAGGAAGAAGCTGTCAATGTTTTTTTTTATTGGACACTGGTACTCTAAATTGCTTTTTTCCATTTGAAAAATGAAAATAAATTTTGAAATGAGTCAAGACTTTTTGGAGAAAAGAGGCTATACCAAAAGGACTTCTGTATAGTATATGTGGAAACAGCACGATGATTCTACCAAGTCTCACAAAAATATAATGTAATTAAGTACTATAGAGAAAATTTATTGGCTAACATTATATACATAGATCATCTGTAGCAATCTACAACTAAGGGAGTCATGACACTATAATTTTACAGAATTTCAAAGCCCTATTAGAGAATTTTTAGTTTTAAAGCCCTTGCTTCTGTGCTTAATTTGTTGAGACAAACTGAGTACAAAATTTTTTGTAGCAATACAAAAATCTCCAAGTTATAACAACACTTACAATGTTACAAATAAATCCAGATTTTTTAAATAATGAAATGTCAGGCCACTATTTCTCTTTGCAAGATGCCAAAGAATTACAAATTCTTTAACATCAAGGAATAGTTGGGACATGCTGGTAATTTACAACAAAACCATGAAATAGGGATCAAGTACTAATTAATGCAATACATTCTTTTTGCATCGTACATGGCACCCTTCAGTCTCATCTACCATTTTGCACAAGCAACCCTTTTAGGCTTCAGATTTTTATTCTACAAAAATTCACTGCACAATATCAATATGGAGCAGCACTGTGTTTCAGAGCTTTAATTAAGGAACTCTAAGGTAAAATTAAAAAGACAATCAAATGCATAAATAGAACAGATAGAAGTTTAAGTAAATATTATAGAACTAGAGTCACATGTAAAAAAGACAAATGAATAAACAAAGCATTTATAAAACACCTACCATGTGCAAAGCACTCTGCTAAACACAGGGGATACAAACAGAAAAGACAGACCCTGTTTTCAAGGAACTCACTTTCATTCTAATGAAAGAGACAACATATATAGGAGGTTTCAGCTGCAAGTAAGATGGTCCTTGAGATACAGAGGCAAAGTACAAGTTAATGCCTCTTTTTAAAAATTATTTTATATCACTATTCTTAGAGCACTTAGGGGAGTTTAGTTCAGGGTCATAAGCTGTTCTCATCAGGATCTGACAGCCTGGCACCTGTTGCCTCCTGTCTCTCTCAAGGCGCTTTGCTGAGCTAGCCCAGTAAGTATGGCAGTTAATGGGAATGGTAGACTCTTTCTCCAAAGGAGCCATCCCCAAATGATGGTTATGAGAGTAGACTGGAAGCAGGAATGATGATCTGAGGGGGAACTGCCACTCTTTGGGCTCCTATATGATTCTGCCTGTTGCTGGCATCGGATCAGCAGCTATTGCTTTTTCAACAATTTCTCTCCTCAGCGAGGCTGTGGGAGCTGAGCTGGAAGAGGGTCTGAAAGGTGCCACTGCTATTCCTGAAGCACTTTGCTTTAGGGTCCTGGACTGTGAAAGGAGATGGTGGTCAAGGTAGCGGTGGGCAGTTTGACTTGCCTGGCACCTGCTGCCTCCTGTCTCTTCCTCAGGGTGCCTTGCTGTTTCAGCTAGCCTCCTAGAGATCACAATTTTTTCACTCAATGGTTCAACCCAACAAACATTTACCCAACAACTGCTATGTGCATGGCACTGCGTATACCAAGCTGAAAATGAAACCATCCCTGTTCTCAAGGAGCCTGTCTTCTATTAGTGATACTACCTAAAAATACATAAATAAATAAAAGCACTATCAACTGGGGGAATCAGAAAAGGCTTCAGACAGGAAGCTGCTAATGATAAAGACTGTAAGAGGTAGAAGTGAGGAAGGAGTACATTCTGGGCAGGTGGTATAGTCTATGTGCACTGACTAGGATGGAATGATGAGCTCAGGGAATAGCTAGTGGTCTAGTCTGGCTCAAATGTAGCCTTGGTGAAATAATACAAAACAGTCAAGAAAAGTAGGCTGAAGCCAGATTTTAGAAAGCTTAAAATATCAGACTAAGGAGTGTATATTTTATCCTAGAGACAACAGACACACTGAAGATTTTTGAGCAAGGAAGTGACAAAGTCAGAAGCCAGCAACAATGCTAGTGGACATGAACTCCTTGGTAACCCATTAATTATGTAAGCAAATGATTAATTTTTGCCATTTAGCTCAGTAAAGCATATTTGATGAAAGGTAAGATAAAATAGAACATTTCTGTAAGATAATAAAAAGTAAAATATGTTGTATTATGTGTACTTTGTATATACGTATTATATGTATACGTATTATATGTAAAAGTATTAAAAAATCCCTAAGTGATATGCCAGCTCCCACTTAGATGCTAGTGCACTTTCTATTGGTATTAACATTCCGCTACTGAAATAAAAATTATTTTTAAAATACAAATAATCATTATAAAAAACACGCTTGAAAAAAGATTATCTTAATTCAAGTTAAGACTTACTGACTAATTAAGAGGAGATCAATTTCAGCAGGATCTATCAAATCAATGTAAGGAAGAGCATCCATTCCTTCTAAGCCAGGATGAATTCCACAATCCAACTGTGAAAGAATCAGGGGAAAAAAATTCATACAAATATCTTTGCATGATGTATAGTACAAATATATCTACTGAAAAAATCTATTAAAGTTGACATTTATCATTAATCTTTCATGTTTAAGGTGGACAAAATATAATGGTGACAGACTCTACTTACCTATTTAATATCACTGACTTCTCAAAATAAATTCAAAGTTAGCTGTCTGACACAGAATGTGTCAAAGGTGGCCCTTGAACCTACTCTTCCCAAATGCCTCATTAATAGCACAGCAAATAAACTCTTCCACAAAGTCTGAGAATAATTTGGTAAAACTTTCTTCATGGACATTAGACATCAGTAATGAATTTCTGATCTTATGTGAATGAGGATTTACCCGTAAGCCATTAAAAACAGTTAAGTCTAATCATGTTTCTCTTTAAGATTTAAAGGAGCTAAGGCTTTGTTTCATGCCTTCAGGGTAGTCACTATCTTTGTATAACCTACAAATTTCTCCTGGTGGGAGAGGAAGGTTAGCTTAGTCACACTGTCTGTCTTTAAATGTATTTTTTTAACTAAATGTTTAGAATCCTGGTTAGAACCTTTGCACATAATTCCAACCCACAGCAGCAGAACTGACCACCTCTTTAGAATTTATTCTAATATCTTTTTTTTTTGGCTAGGCAGTGGGGTTAAGTGACTTGCCCAGGGTCACACAGCTAGTAAGTGTCAGGTGTTTAATCTGAGGCTGAATTTGAACCCAGGTCCTCCTGACTTCAGGGCCGGTGCTCTATCCACTGCGCCACCTAGCTGCCCCTAGCATGTTCCTAAAAGTATATTACGTTAATACTTTCACAGAAAACAAAGATGATTGTTTTAGCTAGTAACAGATTTATACTACATATGTGTGTGTGCATATATATATATATATATATATATATATATATATACATATACACACACACATATACATTTTCAGTGATTACCATTATTTTTCTTCCTTTGAACTCCAGAATAATACATGATCTTCCTACTTCTTGTCCAGCCCCACTGTAAAAAATAACAACAAAAGAAAGGAACATAAATATCTGTGCAAATATATTATGGCAAAACTTTAATAAAACAGCACAAAGCTATGCTAATCAATCTATGCTTTCCCCTCTTTTAAAAACAAAATACATATTCTGAGGAGCTCTTAGTGAGAACTCCTCCTTAGGAATCCTTAAGGGAAAAAAAAATTACAAAATTACCAGAAAAGGGAACAATCTAGGTTCAGGACATAAGTGTATATGAGTTTGAATGCATGTGTTTAAATTTCTGAACAGCTTATGTTATAGAGCTAGAGACCAAAAGTTAAATTTAAGTTTCTGAATGAAAATCTTGACAAAGTAATTTTAAAGTGTCCAAGTTACAGTGATCATTTGATTTTTAAGTTAAGTAGATTATGATATGTATAGATCTAGGAATATTTCAGCATTTTACAAAGAAATAAAATTTATAAACGAATACAAATCAGCAACTGGAATTTACCAAATAAGCTTAAATTAAAATATGACTGAAATGTCTCTTTTTTCCTCTGAATTATTCAAATTTCTCCTCTTTGCTAATATCTTTCTCAAAAACTATCTATCTGGTTAAATTTATTATAAGTCATACTTTTAAACTCTTTTAAGTTGCTTCTGTGTGTAGCTACAGTTGACTCATCCTTCAAAACCAGCTCAAGTCCCATTGCCTCCATTATGACTTACTTCTCCAAACTTTCTAGTTGATGTTGATCTCTCCCTTCTCTGAACTTCTACAGCATTTAATTGTCTATACCACTTATTTTTGCATTAGCTCTCATGAAGGCAAAAATCATGTTTTCTATTTTCTTCATCAAATGTTTCATAGCATGGAGCACTTAATATCCTGGTTACATTTCCCTAATAATTAGTTTACTTTGAAGTGCTTTGATTAAAGAATACTGTTATTCTTTTCTATTAATAATTATATTCCACAATCAGAGAGACACAATGGCATGGTGGGAAAAAAACTAAAATACAGTGGACCAGGAATCAAGAGATATTATTCTAGCCTTTGTTATGTCACTCACCTCTCACCACATGAGACCACTGACAAATTACTTCCATATCTGTAAAATGAGTAGGTTGGACTAATTATCTCTGAGTTATCTTGCAGCTCTAAAATACTATGATATGAAAGTGTGATTATTATAATTTACATAAGAAACACTAACTCAGTTACTTATTTTCTAAACTATTTCCTCTATGCTTCAGCCAAATTGGACAAATCAGTTAAGCTCTGGGGCCTTGGTTTCCTCATCTGCAAAACGAGGGGGTTCATTCCAGCTTTAAATCTATAATCCAGTGATCCTGTAAATACTGTCCTATAAATATGCTGCTTATCATGATCACATGGCTCAGATCATTTCTTATTCCTGGAATATTCTCCCTACTTCATCTCTGGTTGAATTTCTAGACATATTTCAAAATCTAACTCAAACGCTACATTCCTTGTGAAGCTGATCCCAATTCCCTCACTGGCTAATTAACAGAGACCTCAAATAGCCTTTGTGCTGTGTCATACTGTATTTACTATATGGTATTATATATTAGTGTTATATATGTTGGTGTCTCCTGACCTTACTAGACTTGTGAGCTCCATGAAGGTGCAGGCTCCCTTATTAAATTTTGAATCTCCTCCTAGCCCAGGAGAGCTACATATGTTATGCCCTGGGCACTTTAGTTCTCTGAATATGAGAGCAGTTTTTGTTTGTAATGATCCTTTTGTTATTTAATCAATTTCATGGGTATCTTTGTAGTATACCTTGGCATAATCAAAAATACTAGTCAGAGTGCAATTTTGGGCTTATTCACCATGTGCAAATAAAAATCTTCCTAAGTCTCAGTTATTTCATCTGTAACCAGAGAATAACAACATTTACTTGTCCCACAGCAATGTTGCTAGGAAGAAGCCCAATATAAGCATAAGCTCTCAGAATCATTGTTTCTCCCTAGGCCTTAATTTCCTAGGGTTCTATATGTTCTATAGTCTATCCAACTCTGGAACTCCCACTGTGCAACTCATGCTACACTCACTGATTGAGTGTAAACTTACATGACTCACTCTATCTAGCTAGTCCCAGATTTACTTCGTATTTTACCCTGGCCATATTCTTGCCAACTATTGGTGTCAATCAAGAAGATTCCTCTCATCAACTCAATGAATTCTCAATCCAAAAGACATCTTTCTGGCCACCAAAGCCACTCCCCCACATGGTGCTGTTTGCCCCTATTAGAACATAAGCTCTTTGAGGTCAGGAACTGTCTCTGACCCCAACCCCTTTTTTAAAAATCCCCAGCACTTACTACAATGCTTGACATACAGTAAGCATGTAATAAATGTTTTTTCATTCATTCATTTGTATTTCACTTGGCAGGTAGCTAGCCCACAGAAAATAACTGACAAATAAATTTATACAAGGTAGATGCCTAACTATAAGAAGTTTATCTACTTAGAAGATTTCCAAATTTCCATCTCTACTACTAAGCTACTTCTCCAATCCATAATTTCTAGGGTCATCTGATATCCTTTTATTACAACATGGTATAGTGAAAAAAGACCACCCAGGACTTGGAATCCACAGTGTTGCACTTGAATCCCAGTTGGGTGACTTATGGGTGGGACTTTGAGCGTGTCCCTTAATCTCCTAGGGTTTCAATTTCCTCACCTGAAAAAAAAACAAACCAAAAAAAAAAAACACGAGGGGGCAGGATTAGGTGACCTCTTTGGTCATTTTCCAATTCCAAATCTGTGATCCTATGAATGTGACTTCTCCACTTCTTTAAACTTCAACTCCTTCCCTCCAGTCTCAAAAGGTAATGAAGAAACCTTTCTTTATTCCAAGAATAATCCCTCTACTTCCACTCTTTAGCTAATCCATTGGAATTTTCACTGGTTATCCTTCATGCATGGAAATACTCTCCCTCTTTATCTCTTTCCTTCAAGTACCAGCTAAACTCTCAACTTCTACAGGAAGCCTTTTCATCCTACCTTTTCCCTTCTTTATGTTTTCCCTCCACTTCTGAAATTGATGGCCATCAAAAACTGCCTGCTGAAATCTGTCCCTTTCTTCAAAGCCAAGTTTGGGCATCACCAACCTATAACAATATCTGGCATTTATATAGGCTTATAGAGTTTGCAAAGCACTTTAAAAATATCATCTCATCTTATTCTCATAACACTGTGAGGTAGGTGGTGCTATTATGATTCACATTTTAGAAATCAGGAAACTGAGGCAGAAAGAAGTTAATTGAAATGTCCAGGGTCTTACAACTATTCCTCGAGTGATGCTATATTTTAACTCAGGTCTTCCTGACTCTAGCTCTATCCTTGCCTTACTTTCCGCCTTCCAACTGGCTGGGATCTCCACCCTCTTTCAATTTCATGTGGTACTTTAGGTCTGGATATTTCCTTGCCACATACCATATTTTCACCTAGCATTAGAGTTATGTATAGGTACGTTTTATCTCTCCAAATTACACTGCAACTTCCCTATGGGCAGAGACAACGTCTAGCACTATGGCTAACAAATAACAGGCAACAAATAATTTCCTTGTGTTTACTTGTCTCTGTTCAAGTGCCTCCCAACATAATGTAAGGTACTCCTCAACGCCTAGCAGAAACAATAAACTTTTGTTAAATGATAACTGCTTGGATGTTTACCAAAGTTCTTTCCATATAAATTGTTTCTGTGGATTCTCAAAAAGAAAAAAGTCCCAATCCCAAAAACCAACTTTTTGAGATAGGCACAGTTAGAATATGTCGACTTTACATAGAAGGAAACCGGGACAGCTAGGTGTTGCAGTGGAGAGAGCACTGGCCCTGAAGTCACGAGGCCCTGAGTTCAAATCCAGCCTCAGACACATAACAGTCACTAGCTGTGTGACTCTGGGCAAGTCACTTAACCCCAACTGCCTCACATTAAAAAATCAAACACACACCCAACACAACCATCAACTACACAGAAGGAAACTACATTTCAGCAAACTTGGAGTTGGGAGGGGAAGAGAGTCGTTGGCTAACATTTCTTTTTACTCGCTAGTTCATCCACTGAACAAATACTACTAAACATCTCCTGCTACAGGTGTGACAAGGTTAGATAGGTCCTCCGAGAGTTCAGCCTAGTAAACGAAGATGACAATAATACACTGTGATCTTGGGCACCACAGCGATGCAAAACACGAGTGTCAAGTGAAGTTTGAGGGGAAAGGTCACTGAGAGCAGAGGGGTCAGGGAAAAGGATTCCTGAAGAAAGTGGCTTCTGAGTCATATTTTGAGAAAGTGGTAGAGAGCAACAGGTGAACGGCAGGGGGTAGTATTTAAAGAAAGCATGGACAACAGCCTGAGCCCACAGGCGCGGGAAGAACGAGGCCGGGTGGGTCTCGCAGCCAGTGTGGGGCAGGGAAGCCCCCTCCCAGGCCGCGCGGCCTTCCCTGCGGCCTCCCCACCCGGCTCGGCTGCGCGCAGTTCCTCCCTCCCCGCGCTCCTTACAGCGGTCGGATCAGTAGCTGGTCGCTCTCCTCGGCCGGGATCGCCGACATCTCTGGGGTCAGGGGAAGGGAAGAGGAAAGAGAGGATCCGACGAGCCACCACTAGCCCTGCAAAGCACCGAGAGAGGAGAGAAGCCCCCCAGCCTTCCTCTCAGAGCATTGCGAGCACCACTTCCGGCGTCTCTGAGGCGCTCGAGACCTTACTTCCGGTGCGGGCCTGACCCAGGAGGTTTCGCGGCTTCCTTTCGAGCCCGGGAGCGCGCGGGGTGGGGCTAGGAGAGGCGTTCTGCGCCTGCGGAGTGGGAATGGTGACGGCATCCGGGCCGTGATGTGAGAGGAAGGAAGGAAAGGGAAAGAAAAAAAAGTGGAGTGGGAGTGGCTGCCTCCGGCTTCTCTGGTATTGAAAGCAGCTCCTGCCGGGAACCTCCACTCTCCCTGGTGGCAGTGAGGTGAGAACCCTCTCCCCGTTCCTTCCCGTCCCGCTTTTCTTTCTGTTTCTCTGTTCGCCGCCCAGCTCGAGCCTTCGGTTTCCCGCGCCCAGCCCCGCAGCCACGTGCCAGCCTCCTTAGGGTTGGAGTCGTGACTCCGCGGCTTGTGTCAGAGTGGGGGGAGGGTTAGGTAGGCCTCCGGTTGCCATAGCGACCAGGGGCAAAGGTAGGGAGAGTTGGAGGAGTGAGGTGAGTGGAGACGTATGAGAATTGGTACCACCCTCTTCTGTGAATCAGGGCGGTGGCCGCCTGATTTAGAGCGGAGAGAGACCTGAGAGCCAAGCAGCCCAACCCTCTCATTTTTACAGATAAGGAAACTGAGGCTCGGGGGGAGAAAGCCGCCTCTCCCTGTGTAAGTAGCCAAGCTGGGATCGGAACCTAGGGCCTGCATGTCTTCCCCCATCCCCAGTGCATCTTGGGCTCGGGGTGTGAGGCTGGGTCTAGGGAGCCACTGTCCTGGGTGAGGAGAGGGTGCCCGAGGGGAAGCATCTGTATGCTGCATGAGAATAGGGGGCGAGGGCATTAAAACACTGCGGAAACTCGTTTTTAAGGCCTTATCTGGGATGTGAGGGTCAGCATTTAACAGTCGGTTTGTGGGGGAGGGGTCGTGGAACAGTGTGCATTACCCACTCTGGTCTTCACAGTTAGGGCACCTGCACCGACAGCTTCATTTCACTCTCTTCCTCAGTTTGCGTGGACCAAGTGTGGCAGCCAGCAATCTTCCTCAGTCACTAATCCACCCCCACACACCTTTTCCCACCCCACTCCCCTCCCACCAGCTCAAGGATGCTATGCTGAGCAAGAGAGGAGATATCAAGGCTCATTCACATCTATCCTAAAGACTGTACTGGTTTTCAGGGGTTGAACCATCTCCTTCCCCATTGCATTATATTTCTCTTCTAAATCCTGTGTGTTGAAAGGTACCCTGGTATTGTCTAACAGAGACAGCTATTTCTATGCTGATTGTTGCTGTAAATCGCTCTTCCTTTGGAATGAAGACTCAATCCTGTGGCTGGGAGGCAAACAAGCCTGAAGGGGAGAGGATTCTGGGAAGATGGTAGAATAAGGCAGGAAATTATCTGACTCTCTTAAATTTAAAGTAAGGCCTCAAAGTGAACTTTGAGAGACAGAAATAATTAAAAGTTGGGATAAAGCAGTTGTCCACCTAAGACAACTTGGGAAGACATTAGGAGAGACCTTACTCTGGAATATTGGTCTGATTTGATTGAAGTGCTGAAACCTCAGAATCAACAAATAACAACCCCTGAAGTCAGCCCTGTAGGGCAGGAGCTTCCTTTTAAGGAACTTTTGCCCCGTGGAAGACTATGTGGGGTGGGGGAGTTAGCCAGTTTATTGGGGAAGATTGCTGGCTCTGAACTAAGGGCTCCGATGCACTGACCAGTCAAAGTCCTGCACTATGGCAGTGGGCTAGAAGTGAGCACACACCGGTAAGGGCAGTAAGAGAACAGCCAGGACCCAGCTGGCTGCTGGTACTCACCAGAGAGTGGCGTCCCTGATTTTGGTTTCCAGGACAAAATGGTGTGTTGAACCTTGCAGTCCAGTGAAGGAATGCAGAGAGTAAGCTTGTTTGAGGTGACAACATTGCTGGGGGCCCTGATTGTGATTTCAGGGCTGAGAGGAGTACTGGAGGTCAGGCCCATAGATAGAGCTCAAAAAACAACAGCATGAAAAACCTGAAGATTGAAACATTATCCCCAATACCTGGGGATTAGAGCGCAACTCTATCACAAAGTTAACAACTAAGAAATAAGCCACTTTTTTAAAAAATGAGAAAGCAAAAGAGGAACCCACCATAGATAGCTGCTGTGGTTATAGGGAAGAGCTGGGTTCAAAATCAGAAGATAGTGAAGTTAAAACAGCTACTTCTGCTTCAAAGAAAAATGTAAAATGGTCACATGCCCAAAAAGAGTTTTGGAAGAGCTTAGGAGGACTTTAAAAATCAAATAACAGAGGTTTAGGAAAAATTAGGGAAAAAAATAAGAGCAAGGCAAGAAATTTTTGAGAAGAAAGTCAACCAATTGGAAAAAGAGAGCCAAAAATTTAAGGAAGAAATGGGTGAGGGGAAACTAATGACATTATAAGACAGCAAGAAATAATAAAACAATCAAAAGAATAAAAAAAATTGAAGAGAATGTGAAACATCACATTAGAAAAACAACTGACTTGGAGAACATATTGAGGAGAGTTGATATAAGAATTATTGGACTACCTGAAAGTTATGATTAAAAAAAAGAGTCTATACATTATACTGCAAGAAATTATTAAGGAAAAATGCCCTGAAGTTTTAGAGCTAGAGGATAAAATGGAAATGGAAAAATCTATCTATCACCACCTGGAAGAGAGCCCAAGATGAAAACTCAGAGGAACATTACAGCTAAGTTTAGGAACTCTCAAGTCAAGGAGAAAATACTACAAGCAACTTAGGAAAAACAATTCAAATACTGTGGAGCTACAGTCAGGATACATGAGATTTGTCAACTTTTATGTAAAAAGACCAAAGAGCATGGAACATTATATTCCAAAAAGCAAAGGAGCTGGGCTTGCAACCAAGAATAACTTGCCCAGCTGAGTGTAATCCTACATGGGGGGGGGGAAGTGATATTTAATGAATTAAAGGACTTTCACGTATTTGTGAGGAAAAGACTAGAACTAAATGGAAAATTTGACATATAAGCTATATCAGATTGTGCACCATCTTGGGGGAGGGTTGGGGGGGGAGGAAGGGGGAGAAAAATTTTCAACTCAAAAGCATGTGGAAGTGATTGTTGATAAATCAAAATAAATTAATAAAATTTTTTTAAAAGAACAAAAAAATTTGATGTATAAGAATCAGGTGAAACATAAAAAAGTAAACATTAGAGACCAATTATAAGGGATTTAATAAGATCAAACTGTTTCTCTGTAACTTTTAAGATAGTTTGAAAGTTTTGATAGGTTAAAAATCTTTGAAAGAGTTGAGTACGATGAGATTGTTAACAGGATTTTACTGAACCAGTCCCTAACTTGGAAATGACTAAACTGAAGACCTGGGACAAAGTGCCAGTAATCAAGTAGCAGTTTATTTGATTAGTTTCATTATGAGGAACAGATTTGTAAATTGGGAATTCTGATCAGAATCCCACTTGGCTATAGTGAAGGCAGAGATTATATACATAAATCACAAGTAGGAAGAGGGGGAAGGTGAATGACAAACAATGATTTCCCAGGACCTCAGTGGTTTCCCATGACAGTGCAGTTGTTCTGAGCTCCTGTGGGAACAATGTTGTTCAAGTCCTTGGGGGTCATTACTTGGTAGGTCGTAGGACCAAAGTTATGTGATGGGAACAGGTTCTACAATTTTTGATTCGCTTCACTTAAGGTACACAGGCACAAGAATGTAAGGATTATGAGAGTATTCTCAAGAGTTTGATAATTTCAAGCTGCATTATAAGTTTCTGACTCACAAGCCAGAAGAGGCATTCTGAAAAATCTAATCTGTTAGTATGTTCATTACATATCGCATACCAATTAATATGAAAATCATAATTCCCTTTACAAGATGATCTTGAAAAAATAAAATTGGGTAGGGAGAGGTAAAATAATTATCTCATTCAAATGAGGTTTGAATGGAAGAACTGCTACAATAGAGGCAGGAGGGGATGGAGGGCTGGTAGTGCTAGATAGAACCTTATTCTTATGAGAACTGGGTTAAAGAGGGAATACTGTATACATTTAGAAGGGTATAAAAGTCTTCTTATGAAGAAATGGGAGAGAGGATAAGAAGGGAGGAATCGTAGAAGGGTGTACAGATCAAGAAATAGGGTAAAGGGAGAGGAAAAGGAAGGGACTCTTAGAAGTCTGGGTAGATTAAGGAATAGGAGGATGAGGGAAGGATTCTTAGAAGAGGTACGGTTCAAGGAGGCAGTGGTTAGAAGTAAATTGGACTGAGGGAAGGTAGGGTAAAAAGAGGGAGAGCAGGATAAACTGAGAAAAATAGGATGGAGGGAAATGTACAACTCATAACGTTGAATGTGAATGGGATGAACTTGCCCATAAAATGGAAATGTATAGTAGAATGGATTAAAAACCAGAAGCCTACAATGTGTTGCCTTCAAGAAACACATTTGAAAATGAAAGATGACAGTAAAAATAAAGGGCTGAAGTAAAATATATTGTGCTTCAGCTGATAGGAAAAAAATGTGGGGGTAGTAGCTATCATGATCTCAAAGTTAAAGCTAAAATAGATTTCATTAAAAGAGATAAACCAGAGCTATATTATGATAAAAGGTACTATAGATAATTCAGTAGTATCAATACTAAACTTATATGCACTAAATGCTGTAGCATCCAATTTTTAAAAGGAAAGCTAAATGCATTACCAATGGAAATAGATAGCAAAACTATAATAGTGGGGAACTTGAATCTTCCCTTCTCAGAACTAGATAAATCTAACCCAAAAATAAATGAGAAAGAAGGCAAAGAGATGAATAGGATCGTAGATAAGCTAGATATAATAGCTATCTGTAGAGAATTGAATGAGAATAGAAAGGAATACACATTTTTTCAGTGGCATATGGTACTTTTGCAAAAATTACCCTGCATTAGGCCATAAAACTTTATAGTTAAATGCAGAAAAGTAAATATTAGATGCATCTATTTCAAATCATAATAAAATAAATATAAATTATATTTAATAAGGGACTATGGAAACATTAAAAATTATTTGGAAACT